TCAGGAGGGCATTTTACACGGACCAAAATACAACCACCTCAAACTCTTTATTAAAAAAAATAGTAAAATAAAAAAGTCTTACTGACCACAACAGCAGTCTAAGGCCTACCTTGGACATGACAAAGCGGTCATTGCAGGCATTGCGGGGGTCACCAGCTTTGTACCGCATAGTGTGGAAGAACAGTACCGACATGAGCTCGGCAGCACTGCAGCAGGAGGTGGGGTGCCTAAACAGGGGAGGACACTACAGTCAGCAATCAGCCAATCAACCATTAACTATGAGCTCAAACATTGCCACACGTTAGACATCAAACGCATGCAGTTATCACCCTAATTTCTAATTTCAACATACTGTGAAATACAGGGCACTCGAGAGTGTCTGTGTACGGCTCTCCTGTTTTCCTTTTGGGACTTTGTGTGTGAAGTTAGGGGTTATGACGTTTAGTTATGTAGTATTTTTTGTGCATGTACAACTGACCTAAATATTAGCTTATTGTGATGAAGGAGGGTGATTTCTAAGAGGAAACATTAATTGTCTGAGGGACTACGAAGGTTTCTGTTTTAAGTATAACTGAGACCTGAATAATTCAGTCCTGCAGAAAAGGCCAAAGTGCATGTGTGAGAGACAGAGGGGGCAAGGCTACTGTCCTCTACAGGCCCTTTAGACAGTACAAAAACAAAGCCCCAGTCTTTTAACTGAACTGAACTGTTAGTCAAAACACAAATTTGAGTAATAAATAAACTATCGTACGCAACAAATGGTAAATTTCACCAACTCAAAGGGATGGTTCGGCAATAAGAATTTTTTTTTCCTTACCTAAAAATGTCAGACACTTTTTTGGTGCTGGACCTACGAGGCTAATATAATATGTCCACTTCCATGCTTTTTTAGCTACATTAGCCTTGTAGCTCCACCAAATCCCGCCTTGGTTGATCAACTATGTTTGGGGGAATAACTGAGCTAATGTTATTTTCATTGTACCACTGCTTTAAAATTCTATTCCCAAAACATATGTGGACATTGCACAACCGTCTGTTTGCAGGTTGCATAAGACGCCGAAAGGAAGCCGCAAGATTTCTAAGGTCAGATCAGTTTGGAAACCAACCATGCAACTTGTCAGTGATCACATAACCAAATCCAAGGTTATTGCGCAAGTAGCCATCCGCACAATACATGCATTCATGTTATTTTGTAACACATTCAGTATTTAAAACTATACATCATCTCACTGATGAATTACCATCCGGGGTTCTACAGGCCTTTATTACGCTGAAAAGCAAAAGGAAATGAAGTGAGCAAAGATGAGCAAAAGGAAATCCTAAATGAAAAGAAAACTGCTGAGCCATGTAAGTCAAGCTCCATTATTCTTTTCAGGTACCTAAAGGTATGAATCAGGTTACAGTATGCTTACGTCACACAGACAGGAGTTACTGGCTGTTACAATAAAAAGAATGAGGAAACAAAATCAAAGAAGGAAGTGTCTTCACTGTAAGTGATGAGTTTACAGATCATTACAACAAGCTAGAACTTATTTATGGTTCCTTTGATGAACAAGGCAGCATTACTGTTGCCCAGCTTTACTAAGTTATCTTTTGAGACACTGCTGTGAAATGACAGATCCATGTTTTCTACAGCAATTTAAATCGAACCTATACGAATTTTATACAAGCAGCTTTAATAGGGGAACTCCATATACATGATTAAATGGTTGAGATGTAACAGTCATTCAGAGTGGTTAGTGTGAAATGCTCTGTCCTAGAGAAACTTACTGAGCAAGAAATGTTCAGTGGTGGTGATGGGAACCAGACGTCTGAAACGTTTAACTGCCTCTGAAAGATTTCCCACATAGTTATTACATGAAGTGATTAAGTATATGCTGCCTGATGTCTAGGACATTGTTTTATGACAGATTTGTGAAGAAGTTTTGGATTTGAATGTATTTATCCCTTTATCCCTCCACCATGAATGTATTTTAATCCATTCATGGTGGAGGGATAAAAGAAAGAAAGAAAAACAAAACAAAACAAAAAAAAAAGTCCTCCAAAGAAATCTTTTTTTCAGATTTATTTCACTATCAACATAATATATTAAAAAGATTCACTGGTGGTTTTGGATAGTTAATAATATGGCTATATTTGTGTTGTAGACACGGCAGCACCACTGTAAAGAAATCAGAGCCAGCAAGTTTCTCTACAGTGAACCACTTCACACCAAACCATTATTCTGTTTACATCTCAAGGACTGATTTTTTCACAATTTTCAAAATTATTGGATTCAATATAATTTACTATTATATGCCTATACTAGAACAGCAGTGACTGCAAGGGATTTCTGGGATAGTTTCTCAAGAGTCCTAATAGTGCTGCAGATAAAATGACGTACTTTAATGACGCAATAAATCAGATACAGACGACCCCACATGCATCTCCCCCGATAAGCACTTCATAATTAACTTGACCATAACAATAGCTAAATTTTATACACATAAAATCTGCCTGGAAAAATACCTTCATACATGATCTTTGCATGTACAGATCTATATAATGACATCTACAGTAGTGAATTTGCGCCAGGAGCAAAATAAGTGTTGTTGTGTTAAAGCTTTTCAGTTTTATTTGAATCCCAATGGTATTTTTTTTATTCTGGTATGTGAATGTTGGTGTTATGTTTCCTTATGCATGTTATTTCTGTTCATGTATATATGCTTCTCTGCATTAAATAAGAAAAAATAATAATAAAAAGTTGAAAAAATGCCCTACAACTCCGACTGTGCCAAGGGGACCACGAGACCACCAACCCACCTGCACGTGATAGCATTTAGTGAAAACTGCGTAACGGCGAGTTAGCACGAATAAACCGGGCATGTCTACGCGAAAGCAGTTAACAAGCATATAAACAATGACCGACAGTGACCGGTTATTTTACCATTTACTCCAACTGGTCCTCTTTAAGTGCCTTAGCTGGCTACGTGAGGCGCGACGCACGTCTTGCACATCTAGTCAAGTTAGCTTGCTAATAATAGAGGGTAAGCCAATTTTCTCCTTCACCTCACCACATGGGAGGGCCATGACAGACTAATGATGCGAACTAGCTTACTACAACTACCTGTTACCGGAATCTGTAACCTGAACTGGATACAGGTGGGTTAACTAACTAGTGAAGCGACCAGAAACAGCTCCACTGAATGAATGACAACCAAACGTGAACACATGCTGCACGCTGCACGACCTCGTAGCTAAGAGCTAACTGGCTAACCAGAACTCACGCATTATGGTAACCAATACGTGCAAAACATTTATGCAAATAAAGTCGGTTTGTGTACCTGTCACCTCGTCGAACCCTAAACGTTCTTAGACCGAATAAAAATGGCTAATATATTAGCTAGAAAGCTACCTAACTGCAAAAAAACTTACCCGGAATTTGATGCGCATGTTGCCTTGATGGAGTGAATCCTTAGCTTGTTGGCGGCGTCTTTCAGGCCCTGGAGAGTTTTCTCGTCGGGTTTGTGGTAGCTTTCCATGTTCACTGGTGTTTGTTGGAATAAAAGCCTTACACGACTTGTGTTCTTGTGAGTGAAATGTAAATTTAGCGCTCTTGCCTCGGTGAGACAGGGTGAGGGGGCCTGGCAACGTGGTTGTGCAGCCGCTTTAAACGGGGCTGAATACAGACTCCTCCTACTGCCCATTTCTCATTGGCCGCGACTACCATAGGAAGACATCATGTCTGGCATTCACGAAGCAGTCGCGAGTTGGAGGCCTGATCTCAGATCAGATTCCTCCGGTTTTGTGACAGTCAAGAAAGACAGACAAAAAACGATTCTAGATCAGCAGAGGTGGTGCGGGAATTCAGGCCCTGGGACGGCTGCTCTGGGGTTGCCAGATTGCATTAAGTTCATCCCCTTTACGGAAATCTGTCATAAATATCTGTATAATAATATAATAACTATTAACAGTTATTATAATAATAACCGATATTTAATACGATGGATATGCATTAACGTAAGTTTTAGTCCCAAGGTGGAAACTCCCTGCATAGCTGATTTGGAGAATGACGATGGGTATTTTTGAATTTACAGGAAAGCTGTTAAAGTGCAAATAGGCGAATGCGGGTGAAGAAACAGTGTTAGACCTTTGTAGACTGAATATATGGTATGATTTTTCATCAAACTTTCCCCGCCCCTTTAAAAGGGAGCGCAATGAGGACAGTATGACTCAATCAGGAAGTGGCAGTTTTTGCCCTCTCATTCTTACACAGCAGAAAAGCAGCAGGGCGTGATTTTTTTCCAGACTGAGGCTCCATACAATATTAAACAAACAAACAAACAGCTTCTTATTGGCTTCTCTTCCTATTTATATCCTTTCATAGCAAGAAAATGCCAAAAAAAAGACACAAGGTTTTGTTTGTATATATATATATATATATATATATATATATATATATATATATACACACACATATATATCGCTGCTGTCGAAATAAAACCTTACATAATTGGCATAATTTGAAAATGCCTGATGCACTTAAGACTGTGTATAAATTCATGATGTTCTACCAAAAGAAATGGCACAAAATTACTTGGAAAAAAGTCTAGTTCCATCGACTTACATTAAAAGAATGTTTTTTTTCTCCTGTAAAGTTACTGTTTTGTCAGTAATGCAGAAGGTTTAATAAGTCATTTGTGACACAAAGGCTTATTTCATCATTCTTCTGACGTTTCTGATTATTAGTCATGAAAAGTGGCTGTGGTACCTCAAAAACTATAGTCATGCTGATCCTCAGATACAGTGCATGTGTCTTGGTCTGCTTATTGATATTTCTCATTAAGAAACTGTTATTGTACATTTTTGGTACTTTAATAAGAGATGTAATAATACTATACTTTCCCAACTAGGAGCTCATTTCATTTTCAGATGAAAACCTGAAATCCTCCTAAAAATGAAGGATAACATACAACAAATTGAAATGAATGAATGGAATCAAACTGTCTACTGACAAAGAATGATGGAATTAATTTATTTAGGCACAGTGAAGCATACACACCTTAGTTAGGTGCTACGGCCAACAATGTCCTTAACAGAAATGCAGACAAATGAATGTAACTCTGTTCCCTATTGTCACATTTAATGGTCCTCTTGTTCTGGGGAGTCTTGAAATTCCTAAAATGACGACACATTGAAAGAATGATTTGACTTAACTCTCATACACGCATCTTTATAATGTATAGTGCTCTATATCAATATAAAATGATACAAGCAATTTATTATTATGTAACTCTATTACATCCTAGTCATCATTACAGCAGTGATGAACACTGTTACTCATAAAGTTACTTATATTTTGATTTACATTTTAGCAGAACAGTACAACTATGATCATTCATAAGACATATATCTATCAATGCAGTAGAAAGGTTTATACCCTGAATCTTTCCTGAGCTTCGGACCTCTCCTCAGAGGAGACAGACTCTTTGTCTAGTCTTTCAAGAAATGGGAGTTGTGCAAGCACAAAGAGCCGATAATCCTCTGTCTCTGAGAGAGGGTTCTCTGCCAACACCAGGGCCCGCAGTGTGTGCATAACTCCCATTAGGCTTTGCAGTGCCTGCTGGGACGATACCAAGTTGCCCCTTCAAGGAGAGTGAGCAAAACAGAGAAAATGAGGAGTGAGAGAGACAGATGGACAGAGAGAGAAAGGGGGCGTTTAGAAAATACAAGCATTTGAAGATTTCCCTTTTTTTAAATAATGCAGGTTCTGTGTTACTGTTTCTCATACATAGAGACATAACTGTTCAAGTATCATCAGCTGGTCTGAGCAAAAATCTTTGCTATATAGTTTAATTCTCTGGTTGTGTACATTGAAGTATTTGTCATGTACCTGACATTAAGGTACTGCAGAGATTTCATACTGGGACTGATTCCATCAAGTGTCTCTAGCTGGTTGTCTCTGAGGTGAAGAATTGTTAAGCGCTCCAGTTTCTCCAGACCTTCTAACCGTTTTATTTTATTCTGGGCCTAGACAGTGAGGGTGAAAGGTTAAGTTATAGTTCAACTTTTGATCTTGTTAATACATATTCACCAAATGTCACAAATGGCCAGCATACCAGATAAAGACGACGCAAGTTGGGGAGGTAAATTCCATCTGTAGTTTCTAAGCGGTTCCCTCGCAGCTCCAGAGTCACCAGATTGGTCAGTCTGTGATATTCAAGACCGAAAACCCTCTGAATGCCATTACCTGAAAGCCCAGAGAGTGTAGAGTCCAGAGACATTATGAGCTGAGTACATTGTTTGGAAACGTTTAATCAACTTCAAAACAAAATCAGACGTATGAATCATCCAGAGGTGTCACTAACCAATTAGATTAAGGGTTTCAAGGGAAGGCCCACCAAGCCCTTCCATATCACACAGACGATTGACCGCCAGGCTGAGCCATTGCAGGTATGTGAACTGATCCAGCGGCTGACCTTTAAACCTTTGAAGCCGATTGCTATCACCCTTTAGCCAAAGGAGCTGTGTTAAGGCAGCCAGTGGAGAAAGGTCCGTCAGGTAATTGGAGGAGATGTCCAAGAAACGCAGATGGACAAGGGAGCTCAGCAAGACAATATCAGACAGGTGCCTCATTAAGACAGTGATGAAGAAAACAAATGTTAAAAGAAAGTTTGCATGTTCATCTCTAAAACACAACTAAACATCTATTCTATATAAACATGTATATCTATATCTATCTATCTATCTATATATATATATATATATCTAGATATATATATATATATACACATATATATATATACGCATATATATATATATACATATATATATATATATATATATAGATAGATAGAGAGAGAGAGAGAGAGAGAGAAAGAGATACTGATCAGCCATAACATTAATTGTACATTCATTGTCTATTTTATCAGCTCCACGTATCATATATGTGCATGTTGTGGTACTTTGTACAGCCCATCACTTGCTCTGCTTACTTTGTTATTCTCTGTTCTTTAATGGCCAGGACCCCCAGCAGTATCGCTGCGGGACTGAGAATAGTCCACCAACCCAACAGCATCCTGTGACCACTGATGGAGGACTAGAGGATGACTAACACAAACGGTGCATCAATGGATCAGCTACTTTCTCTGACTTGACATCTACAAGGTGAACAAGGTATGAGTGTCTAACAGAGTGGACAGTGAGTGGACACAGTGTTTAATAACTTCAGCAGCACTGCTGTGTCTCATCCACTTGTACCAGAACAACACACACTAACACCACGTCAGTGTCACTGCAGTGCTGAGAATGATCCACCACTCAAATAATACCTGCTCTGTGGTGGTCTTGTGGGGGCCCTGACCATTGAAGAACAGGGTAAGTAAGTGGAGGGGGGATTTAATGTTATGGCTGTAAAAATGTATAATATTCACATTCCACTCAACCCCACTCACTCTCCAAGAAAAGCTACCTTTCTTTTAGATCAAGTTTGACAAACGCATGAGCAAGTCCATTTCCTGTGCGGCACAGTAAAGACAGGCCTTGGACTATTATGTCCTGTGTCAAAGGACAAGTCTCGATCTGGAACCAGAGAAAAAAAAACAAGACTAAGCTGAGTTAAGGAGTCACGTACGCTTATGTCCTCTCGGTTTGAAAAATAATAAGGCAAGTTTAGTATCTACAGTAACTCACTTTAAAGGAATTAATTTCAACCAACTGAACCAAATTATGTATCAGTACCATTTCTAGTCCTGTCTTTTTAACCCTTGTGTGGTGTTGTGGTGTTTTTGTTACTCAGTGGTCTGGTGGACCCACCACATTATTATTTTTTTTTTCAATCTATACAGCCATAAAAATACCAGATGTTTAAAATATCACAAGTGTCCATCGTAGGATTTTCCTTTAGCAGCTGTATCCAATCAGCAGCCTGTCCATGTTGTCCACCCTCACACACACACACACACACACACACACACACTAACAGCAGGCCATGTAGGAGAAGAACAGAGTGAAGGACACAGCACCTCCACACAACACCACATGTGTATAAATGTATAGGGGGGGACAGTGTGAAGACACTGAATATGTGTTATTTTATATGCTCTTCACAGAAAATGAGCAAGGGCCAAGGAATTTTGAAATAGTAATAAATTGCATCATTTTTTCTTTTTTGGTAAACACTGAAAATTGAAAAACACCACAGAAGGGTTAACTGTCCTAAATGAATGATTAATAACCACCATTATGCAACTTTAACGTTACCTGATCCTGTTCAGACGTTTCCTCTTCTTGAATATCTTCGCTCTGCCCTTCTCCCTCTGAATCCCCATGGAACACCTCATCTTCATCAACATCTGACATTTTTCAGTTGGCTTTACTGAGTGACCAGTCAGCTAACTTACCTGTTCAAAATGTTAAAAGCTATAGCCGGACAGACGAGTTAGCTAGCTAAATAGCCAGCCTAGTTTCCATAAGCAAGTGGTAACCTAACTAACCGTTACAGCTGGCTATTAGTAAACTAAATTAACGTTACTCCATGCTTACCTCAAGTTAATGAGAAGTGCTTCATATAATGAGAATTAAGACCTAACAACAAATAAATTGAACACAGATTGTGTAAATGCTGGCGTTTTAGCCATTGGCTAACCATTCATAATGTTGTTTATAGTCGTTACCACAGTAACAGACGGTCTCGAGACCCGAGAAAGGCCGAAGCAACGCACCGCGCGCCCCATTCAAAAGCGATCCTGCCTACTCCCTACTCCCTACTCCCTACTCCATACTACATACGCCCTACTCCCTACTCCCTACTCCCTACGCCCTTCATAGTGAGAAGTCGTAAGGAAGCAAGCAGGGTTAGAAACCAACTGCCATTCACTTCTGTAGACTTCAGCTACATTTCTCAAACTCAAACTTAGGTAAACAGTTATTGTTATCAAAGCGACCCCAGTATATTACACCATTTACAAGTTACAGTAAATTTAGCATGGCTGTTATATCAGAGTTTCAGTTAATATCATGATTTAATTTTACATGATCTTAGCTGATTCTGTAGAAGGGTCATTCTACAGAAACGTCCATTTTTGTGTCCCTAGCGTTTACAGGTATGTTACACTTGAAAAACATGTTAGGGTTACAATTTATTTATGTTTTAAAATGAAACAATACGTTATTTTAACAATTACACCTTCTTGATCTGTCAATTTAGCAATATTGGTTTTTAAGTCAGTTATGTAGAATTCCAATCACCACAGAACTGCTCATCCTCACAGTCATGCGTAAAGGGTGAGCGCCATATTTTGAGGTAAAAAAACATGTTTTTCTGCTATTTTCACTGCAATATTATATACATGACTATAAAATATATGATTTAATTGGCATAAAGACAAGAAATGCTAAGTAAATATTCTAAAATATATAATGTGGTCCCCAGGAGTCGTGTCACTGGTGTTACTATGTAACAAAAAATCTCTTATTTTGAAATAAAAATCAAACTGATGACATCACTTGACTTCCTTTTACCTATTTTCTGGGGATCTATAAAGAAAAGCACATGGTGAGTCCACTGTGTCTTTTCAGTGATCAGAAATTTTCTCATTTAGCTCATGATTTCATATGAAGCTTTTAGTTGAGGTCACTGGTGTGACCGACTTTATTATTAGGTAATTGTGAAAAAATAGAACACAAATGGAGTAAATGACATATTTTAGTGGAAATTCCACGACTGACATGTGGTTTGATGCTCTGTAGTAGCCATTTTTGTATAATGCGTTTTTCATTAAAAATGTCACTGTAGTTACTGTCTCTGGTGTTACCTTTCTGATGTGTAACAACAATGACGATCAGTAACACCAGTGACTCCTATGGATAGACAAAAAAGTGGACGTTTCTGTAGAATGACCCAGAAGTGATTTAGAAATGTAGACATCACACATGATCAGACATTAAATGAATGACAGTTTTCTCAATACGATGTGCGTGGACATCATTTAAGGCCACTAAACAAGCTTCTTCCACGCCTTTACGACCACAGTGATTAATAGCACAAGGGCAATTCCACAGACATTTCTCAGCAGGAAGTCACCTGTATATTGTTTTATGATGACTGATGGATGACAACTTAGAAAGAAAAGGTGTGTTAGGAAATTATGGATGAAACTAAATGTTGTAGATGGGTTGATCTGCAAAGAGTTGGCCAGCCATAATCTAGAACAGGTTCTCAGTTCTGGCCCTGGAGTACCACTGCCCTGCATGATGTAGTGTTAGTTGCATCAGGTGTATCTGGAACAACGTGAAGGGCAGTGAAGTTCTCCAGCACCAGGACCAAGAACATCAAACTCCCATTGGTGTGTTGTATAGTAAACAACTATGTTCCTATTGTAGTGTGTGATGCTGCGGCTTACTGGAATTTAATCACCATTCACATTTAATGGTAGGCCTCATCAATGATTGGCTGATGTAAACCTACTCACTATATATATATATATATATATATATATATATATATATATATATATATATATATATATATATATATATATATATATATATTAACAAAACAGATTAGATGTGGAGGCTGTTCGGTCAAGACCATCATAATTAGGCCTATGACCACCAAGATTCAATATGCAAATAAAGTGTGATCAAAATGCTGACTGCTGTTATAAAACAGTAACAGGAATCTTATGTATAGAAGACAGTTAAGTCCAGTCTACTCATCATCTGTAAACACTCTTATAGGTAAAGAGGCATTTATGTCCTAATAAAACACAGGCATGATTATCAGCACATCTCTGGAGCATATTTATTCAGTTTATTCATAATGTAGAAACAAAGAAAATAGCAAGAATAACTCAAACAATTAAAAAAAATGAAATAATCATTAAATATTACATATAACCTCACTGCAAGCTCAAAAAATAAATAAATGGTAATGATAGTCACATAACAATGAACTAACATGAAGCAGTTGTTGAGTGTTTTCAAAATAATAATGTAACATTTTTTTAAAGCTACATTTTCTCCCCTAAATGATAAAAAAGAGAAAACAGACATGGGGATGATGAAGTATGTAAACAATGAACATTGTGCATTCACTCTTGGCCAACATAGTCAGTTAAACTGTAGATTAATAATAGGACTGAATGATTTGGAGAAAATATATAATTGCGACTCTTCTGACCAATATTGTGATATTAATGTGATTATTCTCTATAAATTTGGCTCCAGGCATTTTTACCCAAAGATGAACAGCACATTTAAGTTTTTTGAGACTTAAACACTGAATGTAGTGTATCAAACTCTGTGTTTTTAGGTTAAACTTCCCAACTAAAAACGTAAGACAACACCAAATAATGTTATCAATATAAAGATAAACAGACATTCAGCCCTAATTAATAAAATATATTTTATACACTAATAAAACTTTGGGCCAAATGTGAAATTCAACCTGCGTTGTCATTTCTTTACCAAAAACTTTCATTAACCGACAGCAATTCTCGTCAAGTCTTACTGTCAGTCAAATGGGGGAAATAAACAAACATCTCTCTCTTTCCTCTCCCATCCTCTACATTTTAATAACAATTGGCAAAAAGATGCACGCATAAATGAGAAGTACATTCTGGAAAGATATAACATTTTCCATAACCTATAAAGTAAGCTTACCTTCAAAGCAAAACAGTCTAAAAATTCAAGTATGATGATCCACAGAGGATCCTAAGATGTAAAATATAATTCAATAGTCCTACAAAACCTCTTAATACTCAATGTTAAACATCGCAAACCCTGAGAATACTGACGTCAAGAGAAACATCTCTGAACTAAACTACAGAAGCTGTTACTGCATATAAAAGTCATTTTTCTTGACTATGCCACAGTAAAATAAGCCAGTAGTAGAACTGTACTGTCACATGACACAGAATCTACTTTGATACTTTACGTTAAGCTCATCTCAACTGATGGTTCAGTTATTAACAGTTTTGGAAACTTCAGGTACAAATCTTAAATAGAAGGTGACTGTACAGCGGAATTTAAGATAAAGGATAATATTTCAAAATTTGTCAGGCATGAACCAAATAACAGAAGAGACTTACTAACTCCTTCCTTTGCATTACTTGTAGAAGTCTCTTCCCTCAATATTCCACCCTTCCACAGTTATAACAGATCAGAACTGGGAAATACGACCATATCGTTATCGTGACAAGCTATTGTGGGTTTCTTCAGTACTTAAAGAACACAGACAGACTGTATGTTTCATTACAAAAAGATTTAGATGAGGTTTCCAAGTGGAGTAGCTAAGTAATGTTTTACACTGTTGTTAGAAGATGGCAAGCTTCGATTCTGACAATGTCAAAAGTCCACGAGAACATACAGTCATATGCAAAAGTTTGGGGTGCCCACTAGTTACATTCCATGTTTCGTTGATTTTCTAAGTGAAAATAAATTATCATATCCTCCACAGAGAACACACTGTTTATTTGCTGATTTTTTTTATTGTGGCAAAAGTTGTGGCACATTTTACATTTTATTTTTCCAAAAGTTAAACCCAGCAAATAAACAAAGTGTGCACTAGAAATTGTTCACTGTAAAAGATATGTTAACTTATTTTCACCTAGAACATCAACAAAACATATACATTGACAAAGGGTGTGCAAACAATACAGTAACTGGTCCTGTATAATTGGATGTAATACAGTGCAGCATAGAAAATGTTGAATAATAATAATAAAAAAACTGTAATTGTAATCCAACGGTAATCCAAATAGTCAAATCTTGGAAAAATCTAAGGACATGTAATATGATATATATTGTTATTATTAAATATAAGGATATGTATTATTACATGAAAATATTGAAGTGTCATGATATGATATTTTTGCCATACTGTTCACCCTTATAATGGATATTTTTATTACGGAAACATTCTCCTTCCTCCTGCCTAACCTCCTCTCTAGCCACTAGATTGTAACATAAGGTCTTTTTGGCTTACAGTGTTCCTACAGTGTAACTTCTGTATAGGCAAGAGTTTAAACCTCAGTGCTTCAGTCAGTGGTGCTGATAATCTGAAGTGGTTATGAACACACACCCAACTTCTTCAGGAGATCCAGTGTGATACAGAACTCTTATAATAATATGCTCATAATAGGATGAATCGAGGTTTAGTGCAAGAGACTGCATATTCAAGTTGATCTTTTAAGATCGCGGATGTGATCAAATGACCACAAACATAATTCTTCAAACTTTTTTCCACCTCTTTCCTGGTGTATAAATAAAACATAAAAATACACAAAGTCAGATTAGCTTAATCCCTGCTGAAGGTTCCTCTCATAGTTCTCCATGCATATGCGGATGCGCTGAGTGAAGTAGGTGGGATCTGAAATGGCTCTGAGAAGGTCATTCTGTATCAGACACAGATCATACAGTTCTGAAGTGGAGGCTGTACGTGTCTGTGAGCCTTCTGGATCCAAAAATACCTGCAGAAATTGATTGTAAGCATAGTTGTTTCATTGACATAAGAATAGAGAGTATTTACTGAGGCAGTGACAGAGCCTCATCACGTACCTTAGGATGCACAATTGTGTCCTCATCATTTTGGCGGATGTTGTCATCGATGAAGATGTGCTGGACTGTGGAATCAAAAGGATCAATCCACAGTGGTTTTCCTCCCAAAATGGAGTATGTGTTCCGTGCCCACCTAGTGTAAAATAAGTTCATCATGACCAGCCCCTTCTTAGTAAGCCTTGCATTTACACTTGTAATTTCAAGAAGCACTCCAGATAAGAAATAAAATGTAACCAAAATAGTCTTTAGAATGAGACTTTCCAGTTTGAAGACTAAGTAAACCACCTTCTGATGTTGTATCTTGAAGATGGGAGGATTTTTTAAAAACTACAAGAACTTTGGGGCGGATACTTGAGGGCAGGCTGTTTGAAATGTTTGGCCAAGGAAGAAGGCCAGATGGCTAACAATTTGGGAGCTGAATATCGCATCTGTATTTACTAGCCTTTATATCAAAGGATTTCTTTATTGTATTTGTGAAATGCATGCTGGGTGTTGTAGTGAGAAACCATTGATCAACAAAACCCCTAAAAGGATAGAAAGTCATGAATTTAGACCAGAATGCCTCTTTAACTGGAGGGCCAGTCTGTTTGACGTGTCACCGCATGATATATAAGATATATGTTACAGTGTTTTCTGAACCAATTAGCATTACATATACCTAAACCATCACAGAACAGTGTCTGTCTCAAATTGACTTGTCTATATAGTTTGTAACACTGTATGACATATTGCATATAATGTATAAAAATTGGCAAAACTATATAGCACAAATAAAACAAACATCATGAAGCCTAAATTCAGTTCAACGTGGTTTAAAGCAAGTGAGGTAATTTAAGCACGCAGTTCGGGCCGTGTTTTCATCACTTGTTTGCTACATTAGCCTCATATCTCCAGGGCAAATCTAAAGCAAACTGGTTACCAAATGTGTTTTGGCTGGTTGACCAGATTTGGGGTACGGAGAAAACTGTGTAAATGTGATTTTTTTTCACTGAACTATTCCATAAAAACAGAACAACTATAACCAGGATGCTTCTCAGTACCTCTTGGATTGGATTCTTACCAGTCAAAGTGGTCCTGGAAGCCACCCAGCCCCTGTGAAGAGCTCATGTACTGATACAGACTCCGCTCCCCCTCCCGCGAGGACACACGCTCCTCTCCTCGAGTCAGAACTGCACCCTTAGTGCTGCACCTGATCCGGCCTGCTGTTGCATTCACACTCAACTGCAAGTGGAGAAATCCTTCTTGAATATCACTTTCAAATGGAAAGGTTATTTCTTTGAATGGCTACTTTCAGCTCCGTAAAAAACTAAGTAGAGAATGCTTCACATAGGTGTTACAAATACAACTGAATATTCACACGACTTCACCCACCCTGGTGTACTGTCTCGAATAACAAAAAAAGCACAGATAAGAGAGTAAACAGAACATAAGCAAACAAACCAAAAAAAGCATAATAAATGCAGAGAAAATTTAATACACAACTATTAACAGTGTTGCATTCAATGGCAAACAAAGACCCACCTTTAGTGCTGGGAGGTCAGGAAAGAGTGGATGGGTTCCTTGCTCAAGGGCTCGCTTAACGACCATCAAAACACGGGGCAGGTCAGTGCCAAAGGTGCGAAATATGATGGAAAATTCCAGCCCCTGTGACGCCAGGTCCTGCAGCAGTTGAAAGAAGGAGGGAAGAATCCAGTGGTATAGCTTACCATCTTCTCCTCTCACACACAGCTCCTTGTCTGGCTGCAGGTGGGAAGGCCACTGCAGGAGTTCCAGATGCTCCTCAAAGACCTTTCGGAAACGTTTGCCCGGCCCGACTGTGGTGAAGCTTGCTACTCTACCAAAGTGGGAGTAGTAAGTAGCAGCACCCTCACAGGGTGGAAGAAGAGATGGAGTCTCACACCTCCACTCCCACTTTCCTACAAAGAAAACAGTGATGTGGTGTCTAGGAAGAATAGTCCAACCCTGGTGCAGTTACTAGTGTAAAAGTCAGAGAACACCTTCATTTCTTTCTTTTCCAGTCAAAATGGCCATTAAGTACAAGTTCTTCAGGATTAGATATAAGATAATTCACTTGCATAAGAGAAGTTTCCAAAACTGGAGTTCAAAAAATGATTCAAAGATACAGAGAAAATGGAAATCAGAAAAACAGAACAAGAGAGCTCTACTCTTTCTTAAGGTGACCAGTCCAGGGTGTATCCTGCCTTCTGCCCAATGACTGCTGGGATAGGTTCCAGCTCTCCCCGTGATCCAGAAGGGCAAGCAGTTTAGAAAGTGTGTGTGTGTGAAAAGACAACTCAACGCTATGTGTCTGAAAGAATGTGGAGCTGTCAAGATTTTCCAGTTTAAAAACCAGGTAAACCCCTTTCTGATGTTGTACCTTGAGGACAGGAGAAAATTTTAAAAACTACAAGAAAATTGTTTGGCCAAGGCAGAAGGAAACCAGACTGCTATTAGTTAGGAAGCTGAATATCACATCTGTATTTATGAGCCTCTATATCAATGGATTTCTTTATTGTATTTGTGCAGCGCATGCTGGGTGTTGTGGTCAGAGGTCATTGATGGACGAAAACAGAAAAAGAATAAAAAGTCATAAATTCTGTCAAACAAGTCTAAAGGGTGCAATATTACATAACATGACAAATAACTGAATGGTAGTTTTAGGCCAGAATGCTCATTTAACTGGAGGGTCATACTGACATCTGTCACCGCATTATATACAATATATTAATACAGTGCGTTTTCTAAACCAATTAGCATTACACCTGCCTAAAACATCACAGAACAGAGTCAATTTGTCTCAATATAATTTGTAACACTGTATGACACACTGCGATGCATAAAAATTAACAAAGCTATGTAGGATAGGTAAAACCAGTAGCAAACAAACATCATGAAGTCATGGGTCTGAAAGGATGTGTAGCTGTCAAGATGCCATTCTTGAGATAAAGGAAATATAAAAGAAGAACAAAAACTTAACTAGAACACCAAAACTGGACACCTGATATGTAGGTTAAGGTGTTACGGACTAAAGAGTCTAAATTTGTATTTAGGGTGCATGTAACCAACTTTTAAGACCGAACTTTGGAGGTGTGGAAAAATATCCCTGCAGATTTCTTTGAAACTGAAAATAAGTCTCTGAAAAGAATGAAAGCTGTCAAAGGCAAAAGATGGTCACACTACATGCTCAAAAAAATAACATTAAATTAAGTTGTTGAGGCATCCTGATACTAAAAACTGAACAACTTGTACCTCCTGGCCATTTTGACAGTAAATGAAAGTACCGAAGGCTTGTCTCTGATTTTGCGCAGTACTACACTAAACCAGATAAATTCATACAATGCAAAAAGTTATAAACAAGATTCTTCCATTAATCTAAGATCTACACAGTGCCATGCTGCTCTCTAAAGCAGGACCCTGGCAGTCAAGACTTTCTAAACCTTACCTTTTGCCATCCGTCCCCAGGTCACAGTGGACAGAAAATACTCAAGAGCAGCAACTGTTCCTTGTTTAGTAACAGCATCGGACACAAGGATGGTGTTGTTGAGATCAAAGTGAAGCACTACCTTTTTCTTCTTGACTGACAGTAACCTTGGAACCGAGGGAGCTGGACTTGTAGCAGTGTCAGAGTTTGCTCCACATCCATTGACTTCGTTATTACTGCTCTCTGGTGTTTCATAAGAATCCTCTGAGTCAGACATGATGTTAAGAGCAAGCTCGGCTGGTCCCTTTGCCCCCTGACGGTGATCCCGATCCAGCTAAGCTAAATGAACCTGAGTTACGAGACTGTCACGAGTTTTATTGTCAACAAGTCAGCAAGTTTACAGTGTCCACAAACAGATGTCCCAAAATCCTTCCCATGGCTTAGCAAACTCTGCTCAAGGCAGCCAGCAAGTCTTTCAGTAAAGGAGGACAGTAAATCGTTTGTTCATCCTAGTTCTGAAACTAACAGAGGACTCGACCAAACGACTGGACATTCTCGTCGTGGTGAACCGGCTAATATTAGCTGCCACACTGCAGCAAGAAAACTAAGTTAGCCAACTCGCCAGCTAAGGCAGTAAAAACATAAACAACGCCTTATATAAACATGAGGCCACCTGATAACAGCACACTCACATCTCTGTCCTCTTAACCGCTGTGATGAGCTCCACAGTTAGCGGGTCTATTAAGTGTTTATTTCTCAACAAACTTGAATGAACCTCAGCCGGCTTTAGCAGCGACGGTACATGAGTAACTTCCCCATTCCTGTCAGACGCAGTCGGGGAAACTAGTAGCGCTTACTGTGCTGAGCGCCCCCTACAGGTGGGCGTTAACACCTCTAACGCATTCAAAATCGGCCTGCCATTTAGTTTAGGACACGCACTTTGAGAGCACTTCTGAATTACCTCCCTCTCTCCACACTCTTTATCCATTTTATCAGCTTCAATTACCATATAGGTGCAGTCTGTAGGACTACAAATTACCCTGCTCATCAGTGGTCAGGACCACCACAGAGCAGGTATTATCTGGGTGGTGGATCATTCTCAGCACTGCAGTGACACTGATGTGGTGCTGGTCTGAGTGGATCACACAGCAGTGCTGCTGCAGTATTTAAACACCGCCGTGTCACTGCTGGACTGAGAATGGTCCACCAAATAAAAATATCCAGCCAACAGCGTCCTGTGGGCACTGATGAAGGACGAGAGGATGACCAAACTTTGTAGCAACAGATGAGCTACTGTCTCCGACTTTACATCTAGGTTAGGACATAAGGTCAAATGGGGCAGTATAGATATGCAAGGTTTATTTACTTGCCTCATGAGTTCATGTTACTGACCTGTTGCCAGTTAACCTAATTAGTTGTGAGAGGTTCCACCAGGTGTTTGTTTTAGTGTTGCACAACGGTGTCAGTCTTTTGTTGTCCCTGTCCCAAGTTTTTTGAAATGTGTTGTGGACATCAACTTCAAAATGGGCATATAATTTTCAAAAAAAATATTACAATTTTTCAGTGTCAACATTTCGTATGTTGTCGTTGTACTATTCCCAAATAATTGTAGGGTTTAAATGATTTGCACATCATTGCATTTTCATTTTGCACAGCGTCCCAGCTTTTTTGGAAACAAGGCTGTACACAAAAGTGTATGCCAGGACTCCTTGGAATACAATATAACCTCTTTTCCTCCTTACCTGAATAGACAACATCTGCAGTATTACAGAAATGTATCGTGTTGGGCTATTTTTTTTTTTTAATTTATGGGAAAAAAAGCTTACACAAGGTATACATTCAAAAACTGTCCCAATCACCATTAATTCACCCTACAAGGTGGATCAACAAGATAGGTGTGTCAAGGTGGAGAGAAGGTGGGTACAGTGTTTAAAAACTCCAGCAGCACTGCTGTCTGATCCACCTGTACCAGCACAACACACACTAACACACCACCACCACATCAGTGTTACTGCAGTGCTGAGAATAATCCACCTTCTAAATGGTACCTGCTCTGTGGTGGTACTTTGTGGGTCCTGACCACTGAAGCAGAGGGTAAAAGGGGGCTAACAAAGTATGCAGAGAAACAGATGGACTACAGTCTGTAATTGCAGAACTACAAAGTGCACTTAAATGCTAATAAAATGCACAAGATACAAGTAGATACAAGTAGGTGTGTTTAATAAAGCGGCCAGTTGGCGTATATCAGCTATGTGATGAGATAAAAGTGTACCATGCTAGTCAGAAAGCCTTCAGTTTCCCAAAGAAATAAAAAAAAAGACTTTTATGTTGTAGTTACACAAGCAAACAACAGATTCTTACTTTTATTTTTATAAATCTGTAAGTGGTCAGATGGGAAGGTTAAACGTCATATTTGCTCGTATTTTTTCCCCACCCGCTGGTGCACAGTGACGTACAAGAGTCATCGCATTTTGATTGAAGGTTACATGAAAACGATCATTTCTTTCTTTTAAATGACATTATGAATTGTGCTTAATATAACCAGGGACACAGATTTTTTATATATATATATATATATATTTGCATAATTCAATGGTTAATGTGTAAAGAAAGCCATTCAGAGTGATTTGATATGAAACACTCCATTGTAGAGAAACTTTTAGTCATAACTGTTCGCAGTGGTGGTGATGGGAACCGGATGACAGAAGCATGTCTCCAAAAGCCACATCAAAGTTGAAAAATGGAGTGGTTACAAATGTTACCCACAGCCCAAGACATTGTTTTTAGTTTTTGATATAAAGTTTTGAACTAAAATGTATTTTTTAAAATTCATAAATGGCAGAGAGGTACATGTAGGGCATTGTAAGGCAAAATTCAAAAGAAAACGTTTTTTTCCCCGATTTATCACTTTTACCATCATCAACATTACATATAACAACTCAGAAGACGTCTTGGTTCACTGGTGGTTGTAGCAAATGAATCAATGAGTCAGTTTCTCTGCACTGAACTATTTCTTTACATCAAACCACCCTAAGGATGACTTTGCTTACATCTCAGTGACTGAATTATGCAGAAATTGAGAAAAATCTAAAAGTCTAAAGACTGACGGGCAGGTTTGGATGCAAAGGCTAATCTTCCTGAATCAGAGTCACTAAATGTCACTTTATCACTAAATGTCTATTAACTCTTGCTGAAAATAAGAGTTAAACAAAAGCAGTATGCACACAACCGTTGTAGATTTCTGAGTTAACTTGCTCAAAAAAGTTTTATTTATATTAACCATTTATATCTTTATTCACAGCAGCATTCTTACGCCCAATCCCCCAGCTCCTGCTTAATATGCAGTCTAATACAAAAGAAAATGAAGGTGGGGAAACAAGACAATCCACTCCAAATTAAAAAAAGTGTGGGTAATGATACACAATACACTACAATTTGTCAACATGCATGTCTCTGTCAATCTCCGTCAACAGTTCCACAGGACATAGAAAAAAAAGGAAAAGAAAAAACCCAACAACATTACACGCATGGACAAAGTACAGGACAAAAACAGTTGCTCAAGTTTCTGTCCCAACATTAATTCAATAATGAACTTAAAAAAAAAAAACAAAACAAAAACAAAAACAAAAACAAAAACAAAAACACAAACAAAAAAAACACTCCTGATCATTTCAGGCTTCGCTTAGCGCAAATCCTACAACTGAACAGGCTGCACTCCAGAGAGATGCAAAAAGAAAAGCACTCAAACAAGCCAGCCAGTCCACCTCGTGTCAATAAGGGTGTGAATAGTACACTATTTGTCCACTGTGTTAACTATTAATCAGTGAATGCCAAAACTGGTGGGGTGTCAAGAACGTTTCCACAATTTCATAAAATGGCGTGCGGGTGTGTGATAAGCAGCTCAACACCATTCAAAGGGGATGAGAGACGGAGCATGAACGCCTCTCGGCAGTGCACCTTCCCCCCTGTGACGTGTGTTTGCACCCTGTCTCCTCGTGAGAATCTCGGTGCACGTCTCCGAGTTCAGAGATAAATCTACATCCTCTGTGAACTTGTTTGAGTGAAGGATCAGCTTGCTTTCCTGTGGAGCTATACACAGTCTTAGTGTTGGGAGACATACAATTTTTTTTTCTGTATTTTCATTTCATCATTTCTAATGTGAAATGTTGCGAGAGTGCAACGTAAGCACCTTTGCTGTGCTTGATCAATTGATGAGCACTGAAGTTTCTCTTTCGAGGAAGAAAAGTCTCCCTGAGGCGAGCGCCGCTGTTTCACTGCCACAGCTTTAGGTCAAGTTTAGTCCACCTCCTCCATGCTGGTATACGACGGACCGGAGCATTCTGCAGAGCGGGCAAATAGGTCAGAGGTCACCTCCGCGCCCAACTGAGGGGGTCCTTCAGAGTCCAGGTCGGTCCCAAAGAGGGCCTGGCTAGAGGCCTGTAAAATAAACCAGGGTTATAATTGGAGAATTCATACACCCTGTCTGGCACACATGAAAGCTGAGTAAGAAAAGGTTGCAAGTGCCATGATTAAAGCAAGCAGACTACAAAACATCAGGTCCCAACACAAAGCTAAACAGGGACACCATTCACAGCAGCTGACAGTGAAGTGATGAACAAAATAATCCATTCAGGCAATATAAGAGCAATATTTATTTGTGTTTTACAAAAAGGAAGTACAGGTTTTGTACAGTTTATTGCTGTGACAAACGTGCAGCATCATAGTATTCGGTTTAAGGATCTGTTACATTAGAATTAAAAATGAACACTCAAACATGTAAAAGTACTTTTATACAGTACAAGTCAGCCTATGTTTACATATATAACAGATGTAGTAATTACATTAGTAATCTAAACAAAGGAATAGGAATTTAATAGGCATTTAAAACACAACAGACTACAGATTCTTGTACATCACCACCTGGACAAGTCAAGCTTTATATTTCTCTTCTCTTTCAGTACTCCTTTTCAGAATAACCCATCATGAGAATAGCAGTTTCATTTACAATCTACTTCAATTGTGTGTGCAAATATGCATTAGCGTAATAAAATCACAGCGACGGAACAAGAGGTTTAGTGGTAAATCTGTTGAAGCAGTCATGGAGGCTAAATGGACAAATTGCCTGTGGATGAACCAGAACATAAAACACCTATTTTATCCCTGAGGCTCCAGCACTCCAGCCAATATTACATTCCCTTGTATAAAAACTCTGCATCCATTGCTTATGAAATTTCTCAAGTATGAGAATGCAAAGTGTCTTTACAAGCTATTAAAAACATTAGTGAACCTATGCACAATGAAGGCAAGCAATAGTCTGACCTAGAAAATTACACAATAAGCTTTTTTATCTCTGAAAAAGAGACATTCAGCAAGTAGGACATGTTGCAAGCTTTGCAACAATAAGGTTTGGACAGTACGGGGATATTAACTGTATCTGGGAAATGCACAAAGACAAGCAGAAAAAGCACACTGTCGCTGTCCAAAGAAAACCATGCATCTCCATTTTTGTTGATTTTTATTTTCATACATTGTTTCAACAAAGCAGCTGTTCTTTACGTTGTGTGAACACTTCATGATGAATGGACCAGTAGAAATGCTCCAAAATCATCTGGAATAAAATCTCTACATTGACAATGACCTACACTGAAAAGGTAAAAGTGTTTTTGACCCCTCCTGTCAAGTTACTAATTTAAAGATACTTGTTTTTCTTTGGACAGTGACGATATGCTTATAACAGCAAAGGAGTCCACTTAAACCCAAGAGGTATTCTTAAAGGCCACTCAGAGGCCAAACACTACATGACATTTAAATCAAGCAAACAAGTTGGACTGAATATGTCTTTGTTAACGCTGGAGGGATTGCAAGGCCTATTTATAGGATTAATCTCAAAAGCATAAAGTAAACAAAAAAAATGAATTCTCTTTCATACGGAACACTACTTCATACTTTACAGTACGTCAGTTAATGAAAACGATCATCTACTTAATGTTAGTTATCAGCAGATGGATCAAAGGACTTGAAGGACTCCTATCCTATATTTTTCTTGCTTTTTTCTCCTCTGAGGTCTGTTGATTTTTTTTGTGCGTTTTTAAGTACCAAAAACAGTTACTGAAGTGTTTGTAACTGAGCCTTTAAGCCTGACACATGCAAATGTGCTTGGTTCTGAATTATGCAGCTCTGTATTATGCTTCATATAAAAAGCATAAAAAACAAAACACAACCAAAAACACTCCTAGTATCTTCAACATACAGCTAAACTGCTGCAGGCTGAAGAGAAGCACATATGAAAATGTGTTTTTTGGTGACGCGTTCAAAGTAGGCTGTTACTGCAGCTTAGTTTCTATTTAAAAAATGTTTGAACTAAAGCAGTGGTTTTCAACCTGTGGGCCGCGGTGGTACTGCTAGGGGCATTTGGCCATTAGTTTTTACCCACAAACAAGTGTCACATAGATGTTCAACCAATCATTTTTAAATATGACAAATATTGTGGTAACTATGTACAAAAATAAAATATATTCTTGTTGCACTTGTTGACTGGTCTGGCAAATGCTAAGTAGCTAGGATTACATTTTCAGTCAATGAGTGTGTATACATGCACTCAAAAATCTGATCATAATGTTTATTTAAATACCATACTCCGGTCTAGAAATACGATTAAGAAATCTGATAAAGAGAGCCTGGACTTTGGATTTCTCAGTGCATGTATGCTCGTCCACCGATTTCTCGAGTTTTACATTATGTTTACGTCACATCGTCTTCTGTAAATTTATTGGCTGGTTGCAAAGCAGAAATCTGATTACCACCTGACTCATGTAAACCTGGAGTTTCCACATTATCTGATTACTCAAGTGCATGTAAACTTGTTGATCGGATTACTCACAAAATCTGATATTCTGCAGTTATCGGATTATTAAAGTAAACATGCTCAGTGTTAAACGTCTCTCTCTTCGATCATATAAAGTTCCTCCCTCATGGATTAATGGCTTTAAACAGGGTCTCTAAAAAGGAAAGACCCTAAGACTGGCCCATCTACAAGTGAAGCGGCCAACAAAAAGAAAACAGTAGCAAATGCCTTGCGCTTGGCTTTATGCAAGTGGGAACTGACACTCTGTTGTGTGCTGTCTTGTCAAATTAAGTGTCAAAGCTCAATTTACACTGTCTTGGAGACTGAACATAGCGAGTATACATCTAAACCCACTGAACTGAGCTGGATCTCCATTTGCAACTTCTCTTTTCAGTCTCTTATCCAGCACCTGGTAGCTGCCAAACACCAGCCATTCCATTAAGGTCAGGAACCCCTGAACGACACGTTCTATTATGTTTACATACTGCATCAAACTATATAATAAAAAAAAAATAAAATAAAAAAATCAGTTGTCCATGATATGAGCCCTTTAAATACAGCTATTGTAATATATTCAAACCTTAAACCCAAAGCTAACATAATGACATAACTTGCATGTTTTGGTTTTTAGCTACATTTTGGCTTTGATTATCAAACCTGTCACATTAGCGACCTGACAGATTACTGCTTAGCACTGCTCCAGACATTAGACTGGTACAATTTAACAAAGTAAACTAAGTGAGAGATCATGCGGAGAATTAAGAATTCATGCTATGCTAAAGATACAGTACATAATTAATGTTTAAAATCAAATAAATAAACGCACAAAGACCAACACCTCAGATGGTACTGGGTGCACAGCCACTCATCCCAGAGTTGAGAAGGAGGTTTAAAGGCATCACAGAGGTGAGCACAACCAGCCTAACCTTCACAATATGTAACTGATCCAGCTACAGTAACAGACCAATTCTTACTGTAAAGTGCAAACGGCAGAAACTTCATTCTTTTGTGTGCATGTGGATTGTAGACTGTGCATTTTATCCTTAAGATTCATTACTGAGTATGTGTGAATAAGGGCTGGGTTACAGCTTTCAGTCTACGCCCAGTGAGACCTGTACAGCAGAGGATAGATGAGGTTGAGCAGCAATGCAAACATCGCAGCCACAGTGCCCAAGATGAAATATCTGACACGGTCGTCATCTGAATAATCAGAGACGCGGTCCCGTCTCCGCCGAGCTAGCCCTCCATGTCCATCCTCCTCTTCCTCCACCCTCGTCCTGGTTCTTCGTCCTCGCAGCCCGGGGCGGAACAGGCCCCGAGAAGGAGCGCCTCGCTGCCCTTCCTCTTCTTCCTCCAGTTCCTGCCATATTAGAGACGCCTGCGATTGGCGGAAACCTGTGTCAGCTTCTGGGATAGGGCCAGGCCTCAAAAGCACCCAATTACAGCCATAGCAATACCTCTGATCATCCACATTACCACCAAGAATGAGTTAGACGTCCAACAACACATGAACTGAGAGCAAATAAAAATACTCTTAACTTGCTCCAGTGCCATTGTCAATCAACCAATGGCATTTAGCGTACTGCTAATTAGGGTGATGCTATTTCAAAAACCACAGCGGAAAAACAACAAAAACACAGTCTAAGAAGAACACATTTCTTCTAAAGAACTCTGAATAATCCCATAACTTGAAAAATTTATACTTTTGAAATAACCTAACAGAGCAGTGCAAGGTGTACCTTGATCACTGTGTGAACTCAAACATGCAATTGAGTTTTCTTTGTTTTATGTGGCTGGAAACACTAATAAAAACACTATTATACTGACCAAAATATAAACAACTGCTTCATACAAGTTTCAAAAACGGCCCTTGCCGTGACAGAAATCTGTACTTTCAGAAAAAGAGTTATTATCTAATTGGCTCTATTTACATATCCCTGCCTTAAATGAATGCCTAAATCAGCTCCACTGTTTTGCTAGCAAGAACAGAAAGAGTAGGAAAAGCCATGTTAAATGTGCTGCTGTTGACCGACAGTCAGATGACAGCTACTGCACTACTACCAAAAGACAATATAACTGACAAGTGTCTGTCCATTTTCAAAGGTAATAGTGCCAGACAAAATATTACATTTGTAAACAAAGGAGAGCCACTTGTCTGTCCAGATGAGCGCATTGAAAATGAAGCCCAAGGCAGGTTTGGATTCAATGGTAAACTGCTAAACAGTTTGTAACCCAATTGCCATGCAACCTTCAAGTAAACAACCCTTTACCGATATCAGCCTACCAGTTGGTAAGGTAAGCCAATCTACACATAATTCTCTGCTCTAGTTTTAGAGCCCCCTCTACAATACCATTTTTTGGTGTATTTATCTTTTCACTTTCGCACAGTATAATATTACTACTCAATAAGCAAGCTGCTAATTAAGAAGCTTGTTGTGAAGTGCACCGGCTACGTCAGAGCAAAAAACACATTGAACATGACACTGAATAGAAGCTACATAAAGCCTATTCATGGTCCGTATTAATTCCAGTATTAATTCTGTTTTTGTAATCCTCAATTTCCCACTGTATGGGATGCGTGTTTCACATGTAAAGCTAAAGCAAAGAAAAACGCTTTTGCCAGTTTCTTATCAAACTAATACCCACAGACAGGACACTTTGTTTTGTTCATTTGGTGTCTTTGGGGTGTTGGGCTTTCACTCTCTGCCCCAAGCTTTGTTATCCAATCAGAGGAATAATTAAATAACTGCCTAAAACAGCATGTACACTGCAAAAGGGCATCAACGGAAATGCTCAGTATGCATTTCAGAGGCCATATTCACAGCCACATATGTCATTCATGCCACACAGAGTGGCATCATGAGATTAAAAACAAACTATAAAAGACTTTATTTTTATAAGACTTTAATTATTAAGAATTTTTAGGCAGTGACAACTGTCCATTCAAAAAATTTTGTTTCAAATTTAAAAGCAAAATAGATAATCAAAAACTTACAGTCCTTAGTCTTCAAAAACTGTACAGAAAAATAGTAAAATAGTTCATACATTAAAAAGATAAAATAAAAGAATAAGGCTACTGTCAGGAAGTTTGAATTGCTGTACCATCCACATTTCTCACTTTAGGATACACCAACAACTGTTTTAATGGTCATAGCTCATCAAAGAATACTGATGTTCACGATAGACCTTCTCAGGTAACCTATTCAACCTATTCTCCTGTAACATCACCTAGTGTAACTTAGTAAGTAACCTAGTAAGAAACAAACTTTTCAAAACATAATCCGTCAAAACCAATGCAGAGAGTCCAGCTACTCTGGAGTGGGCCAAAAAAAAAAGGAGATGAGTGAGAGAGTGCTGAGCTCACCTGACTGGCTGCACCTCCGGCCGCAGCAGGGGATTCAGCTCCCAGGGGCCCTAGCAGACGGGGTGGTCGCTCTACGGGAGAGTTCCTGCGGCGGTAGAACAGTACGTAGGCATAGCGCGTCACCACCTGGCTCTCTTCTACCGTTGTTACAGTGCTGTCATCAAACAGACGCCAGCCTGGGTGGAAAAAGACATGAAAACAAGCATTTTTCAATAAAATAATTAATGATAAAATAAAGTTATTCAATCAAAATTGACAGAGATACTAAAATTTCAGGAGAAATTGTTTTATAAAACTAATGTCAGGTGTGAGTAAGCATATAGTGACACTACAAAGCACTACAAACCTCTATCACCAGTAGAGGAGGTACTCTGACAGCATGGACATGCTGTATCGGAGCATGACCAAGTATTAGTGTGCTGTGCGAAACCATATTGTTGTCTTGCTAGTTGTTATAACTCTCAGGGTTTACATACAGCAGTGTCACATTAAAAGTCATATACTTGCCCTGAATGCACAACAGTGAAGATCTAACACCTACCAACATCACTGCGCTGACTGTTCTTGTCATTAGGTAGACGAGCATATGCTGTGTAGTGACCTCCAATCATCCCTCCATAGTGGTTTATTACAGCATAAAGATCATAAATGGGGGGTTGCTGGACATCTTCCTTTTGACCAATACAGAACTTACTCAGGTCCAAGTTCCTGTGGGCAATGGGATCAGTGTAAAGTGCAGTTTAGTATGTGATTCATATTTACAGTGCACGCACATACAGCACAAACAAAACCAGGGCATTTAATAAATGCTGAGTCTAAGCCAGGCCAAGAGCCTCTGCGCACCTCACAGGAAAGTCAACCATGTCATTGATCTTGTCCCTCCAGATGAAGCTGCGGAAGGAGAAGCGTTTGAGCTGGATGATGAGCACATTAGGCAGACGCCAAAGTAGGAGCTGTTTGGAGGCCTCCCTGTGCTGCTGACATTTTGGACAATACCTGAACCAAACAGGGAAAGGACACAATAAACCACACAATCTTTGTGTAGAACTGCATATAATAAACCAACAGGTATTACTTTTTAAAACTGCTACACCGCCCACTAAAGGTTTGGAGCTTTTCGCTGACAAAACATCTGACAATTCCCTTAGTCATTACACATTTAATCCTCTTGTTGTGATGTCAGCACTGATTAACACTCATACCGTTCAGATGCTCAAACCATGTTTGGGGCAAAAGATTTCTAACTCCTTTTAATAATAGTTAAAAAATAAAAATCATATTTTGGCGGGGGAAAGTTTTCACAAGCTTCAAAGCAAAAGAGGGTATTTTTCCCTTACTTAATTGAAATATACCATTGAAAACCGAACATTACTCTGACATTGCTGCTAACACTGTTTTACTCAAATACTGTGTATATCCTACCTCAGTAACTGCTGTGCTCACATATGTTATAATCTGACTGCGTATACTCACATATCACAGCATGTTAAATATCTCTGCGCCTTATCCTCACTACCTCATGCTCAGAAATGAGTGCTGTGTCTGCGCTGCCCTGTCTGTTTACTGTGTCTGATGTCTGTTTTATTATCGTATTTATTGTATTGTTTCCAGTTTAATGTTTGCACACTTGCGTCTGCACTTTTGCACTTTGTACTGTCACTTTTGTTCCATGTTGCACTTTGTTGCTGGAGGAGCATAATTTCACTCCACTGTGTGCTTGTACATAGACGGAATGACAATAAAAGCCTCTTGACTTGAATTTACATTTAAAAGGTTCATGAACTGGCTCCCAAAGTTTTGACAGGCAGTGTACATGCTTGTAGTCCTACCATGCCTCCTCTGGAGCTAGCACCTCAGGCTTGGTGAAGAGGTTGAGGCATTGCTCTAAAGTAAAGTGCCCTGCTCTGGCAGTCTCACTGGCAGAACCCTGGTCTTCATCAAACTCCAGCTCTTTGGAGCGCACCAACACATACTCCTTGAGCCGCTCATTATTCTTCCACACCAGCTCCAAAGTGCAGTCTTCAGGGACCTCCAGCACTGCATCACCTACAGGGGGAGACATTCACTAAGACTGAACGAATGAGCAGGTTCCTACGCACTTCCACAGTAAAAGGAAGTTTGGAAAGAAAGCTGACAGTTAATTACAGAGAAACTCTAACCTTTGTCTTCAAGTTTTTGTTCTTTGCCACCGATGTCCAGTAATGAGATATAGAATTGAGAAGCACTTCCATAGCTACACTCAGATGGCTGCTGGTATCCAGGGACAACAGCTGCACCACACCCACAAACACACACACCCACAAACAGACAAAAAAAAGAAACAACGCAATAATTCATTTGTGAATGCTTTGATTAAAAACAGAAATGACAGAATGATTTCTCAATTCTAGTTCAAGAGCACCCTGCCCTGCACATTTTAGTGTCTTCTCTGCTTAACCACACTCACTTTAGCTCAGAAATGTTTTGTTAAGTAGCTGATTAGATCAACACACTGTTACAGCAGTAAAACACCCAGGATTGGGAACCACAGCCCAGTTATGAGGATACCTTCTTGTTTCACAGCCTTCTCACAGGATGTCTCCTTTTCTCTGAAAGGATCCTGGGAACTTGACGCCTGCTCAGAGAAGCCAGAGTCCGTGGTGCGTGTGGAGAATGTGTCTGAGTCTCCGGCTGAGTTAGCTGAGGCCTGCCCTGTCTCAGTTTCTGGCCCTGAGAGGCTGGCTTGAGCTTGTGTGTCTTCTGCTCCACTAGCAGAAAGTGCTTCCTCCTCTGGTCCCGATCCTTCAGGAACAGTCCCTGTCAAGGGAGGCTGGTCACTACGGAAAAGGCTAGTCTCTGGAGATGTTCGGCCAGACTGGAGGGGAGGCCGAAAAACATTCACAGAGTACCTAGAAAGAAGATGAATAAGTGTAGAAGAGTAAGATGAGTAAGATGAGTAAGAAAATGAGTTTGTGTAAAACATGTGGAAGCAGGCACTAATTCTCAGCCAACAAAACATTAAGTGACACAGCATTATTTTATTGGAACACAACTAACTATATCAGTGCATCAATTATGTAATTAACACCAATGTGTGTTCCCAGCTACACCTGTTCCCTTTACCAAGCCAGGTGGGACATGAGATATTTAAAGGTAGAGGAAACGCTGTAGACCTAAATTTAAAAGCTAGTAATCGCAAGTCTCTGTCCACCAAAACCCCTACCTGGAATAGCCTTCCAGTAGCTGAGTGAGACGAGCATAAGTCAGCCTGGATTCAGGAATGCTGATCAAAAACGGCAACCCTACGTTCTCAGAGTTGGGTCGGCAAAGCGCCTTATGATTGGGCCAGTGAGTCCTCTGGCATATCCTAAAGCACAAAGGAAAAAGAATTACATTCACTATGATTAACATTAACTGTGCTTTTACATTCAGGAACCTTGTTAACTAGGACTTGCGGGGATAACTGGGGAGTATCATAACTCACTGGTTGCAATAGCCAACACGGTAGCACCGTGTACAGCGCCTCAACTTCTCATCGTCTGACACAGGAGGCTTCTGGCAGGCAGCACACTTGGGTATTGGAATACTGGGAACCTGAAGCCTCTGCAGGCAAGAGGCAAAAAAAACAAACATGTAAACGTCTTTATGAAACGTCTGTGACAACAAACCAGCAATTAACATAAAAAAAAAAATCCAAATCCATAATCTTAATAATAACCAAACTATGGATTTGTTGCAGTTGTGTTTTATACCTGATGGACCTTTAGCACCACCACTTTCTCCTTGATCAGCTCTTTGGACAGCATCTCAAAGCAGAAGAGCATATCAGTGGATGAGACCCTATCAAGGGAATGAGATGGCAAGAAGATCCGTCCTATGCGATTCTTCACCACCTAGGAAAGAAGCGTCAGATGGGTGTCTTGTTCTTCACATACTGTAAATGAGTGAAAAGTTTTCAAACAGTAAGAATATAAGCGTTTGAGGCAGAAGCTTCATACCTCGGCCAGCCTCAGGTTCTCTGGTTTGACCCTCACACTCCGAGAAATTGACTCCAACACTTCTGCTGTGCTTGAGTTCTCCTTACTTACGCTGACCAAAAACTACACAAAAGCAGGTCACAAGTCGTTAGTCAAATCATATAAATGGAAATATTAAAATAATAATAATAATAATAATAATAATAATTAATTGTTTAAATAAAATGTAAATTATGCGTGCAAGTGCTTTTCGAAATAACATTATTTGCTTGGCTTTACCTTTACTGGTTTCTTGTGAGGCTCCTTAGCAAAATAAAAAACAGACAGCACCTTCTGTTTCTGAGGTAGGGGCACAGGCAGATACAGGAAGGGGTCAAAGGTAATAGACACCTAGAGACACAAAGAAATATTTTTAGTGACAGACTAATTAAAAAAAATAAATAAAAACTGAATTCATTTGAAACCCGTACACAAACAACCAAGATCTCCAGATAACTATTGTGTACGCACTCACAGCACATGTGCATTTAAGCAGCAAATGAAGCTCCAGAAATTTCTCTACTCAATCTTTGTCATACTAAATGAGCACTATTATCCCAGCTAAAAACCACAGACCCAAGCCCATGACATCATTCATTCAGAGGTACTGTGCCCCAGTTTATGTACCAAAGGCCCATGTTCAGGAATCCGACATAATTAAGAGATTTGGTTTTACAAACTGTGACAGAAAACAAAAGTCCTGCTCTAATGAGGCACCATGAGAGGACAAAAAAAATGTATGCACTGACATTTCAAGTGTCAACCACACAGACAATTACCTTTTCTTTTCTTCATCCAATACAGAAATGTCCTTTCTTTGCTTACCTTAGAGCACACTGGACACACCAGCTTTGACTTGTACTGGCCTTGGAACAGATCAACAATGAAGGAATCATTCCTCATCTTATGCCTTTGCCATGCTTCTTCTGCTACAACCTGTCAAATCAGAAATACAAACACATCATGGTTCTAGCCATCTCTCAGTGTTTATGCTGAAAGTGCATGTGCTTGTAGGAGCATGAAATATCCCACAAGTACCTGTACTTTCTCAGCATAAAAATGGAATACACTGCATTGTATTAACAATCACGTACACATCATTATATAACAGGGCTTAATGTCGAAACCTTTCTCCACACTCAACACTACACAGCTCGAGTCTACATATGAACAATTGAAGCTTACAACAAACATTCAGGTAACTTTTTTTCACTTTGTATTTTCCAGGTTTTTAATTAATTGTTTAGTATATACTAGAACATAAAAACTAAATGTGGAGCAGTTGACTCTGGTGCAGTGGAAACATTCTGTGGAGTGACGAGTCACGCTTTATCTGCCAGTCTGATGGATGAGTCTGGGTTTGGCGAGTGCCAGGAGAACGTTACCTGCCTGACTGCATTGAGCCAACTGTAAAGTTTGGTGGAGGAGGGATAATGTTATGGGGTTGTTTTTCAGGGGGTGGCCTAGAACCTTTAGTTCCAGTGAAGGGAAATCTTAATGCTTCAGCAGATCAAGACATTTTGGACAATTGTACGCTTCTCACTTTGTGGGAACAGTTTGGGGAAGAACCTTTTTTTATTCCAGCGTGAAATAGAAAGCAAGGTCCATAAAGGCATGGCTGGGTGAGTTTGGTGTAGAAGAACTTGACTGGCCCATGCAGAGCCCTGACCTCAACTCCATTAAACACCTTTAGGATGAACTAGAACAGAGATTGTAAGCCAGGCCCTCTCGTCCAACATCAGTGTCTGACCTCACAAATGCTCTTCTGGACGAATGGGCAAAAATTCCCACAGACTTCAAAATCTTACAGAAAGCTTCCCAGAAAAGTGGAAGCTATTACAGTTGCAAAGGGGAGACTGACTCCATATTAATGCCTATGGATTCAGAATGGGAGGTCATAAAAGCCCCTGTAGGTGTAATGTGCAGATGTCCCACAATTTTCCTCCATATAGTGTATGTTTAATATAGTGGTATGCTGCATTACCGAATACCAGCACATGTCTAATGCTGAATAACAGTCTTTATTCATATGCCTTTTTTTTTGGATGGCAAATAATGTAAACCTATTTGCAACAAGGAAACATCAAATATGCACACAAAGAAGAAAATAAACCAAAAATAAAAACAACACACTAGATTTCAATACACCCCTACCCTCTGTAATCCCAGAGTTGTAAAAATGATTTTATGAGTGTTAACATTTGATATGACTATCTCTTGTAATTTACAATGCATACTCTGCAACAACAGGCCAAATTTGTTTACAGATTATGCCCAGGCAATCGATGCCCACTGTATGAACTTGTGAGCACCTAACAGTGCTACTGAAGTAGTGGTCCCACCTCATCCTGGCGGCCGTCAGAGTCCACAGTTTCCGTGTAGGGTTTGTTCTGGATACGGTTCAGGTCCTCATGCAGCCCATCCAACAGGAAGGCCATAAATTCCTGGGCATCATGTTGAGCATAGCCTGTAAACTGGCTGGCCTTACTGGCTACTATTGCCTACAGGGAGAGACAGAAAAAGAAAGAAATCTGTTCAACTTGGCTAACGTGTGCTGACAACAGAACATGGGCGGTGAGTGATCAGACGACGCACCACCAAAGGAAGAAAGGGAGGAAATTTTGTAATCACATTCTACCACACTGTTACACTAGCTGTGACCTTTGTAGACAGTTTGTCTTGCCTCTGAATATCATAGTCCAATCAGCATCAAATTTTGTTCCATACAGTACCACCCCTTTTGGGTGATTTTAGTCTGGTTGAAAACTGCCAAGATTGCTCTGAAAGACTCCCATATTAAGGCAATTGTTTTCAAACTGTATATAGCTGTCCACAAATACTGTAAAGCATGCAGCTTAAAGAGAAATCTTTGTTTATGCCAAATGGCAACAGACACCAGTGCCCCCCTGAAAGACTTGGCAGGAGCCACAGAAACAGTGCAAATTGTTCAGAACTTCAGGTTGGGACAGAACAGGAGTAGGTAGGATCAGTTGACTGGTACCTTTAACTTTGAGGGCTGGAAAGCATGGTGAGTGCCTTTCCATAACGCCCGGAGCAGCACCGCAAACCCAATGGCCAGCCTTCCACCTGTGCCCAGTGGGTTATTACAGTTGATCTCTGTTTCAAATGCCCGATCTGAAAGAGAGGGAAGTGGAAATGTTCATATACATGTACATACATGACACATTACAGGCAGACATTACAGCTGAGTAGTAAGGACCTACTACCAACATTAACAAGCAGATGACCCCTCAGCACAGGTCAAGGACTTTTAATTTTTATTGCTAAAATGCAGTCCTTATTCTAAATAATTCTTCTAGCGTGATTTACTGGGTAATGTAACACACACAACGACAGATTACAGAGAATAAGCAATATCAAAGCACTCAAAGACTGTAGTTAGTGTAGAGACGCCTAATCTTACTTACCATGGAAATAGTCCCTCAGCTCCCGCGTGTTGGAAAGAGACTGGATCACGCTGTTCATGAAGCAGGTGTTGCCGAGGTTGACTAGTCCCGTGAAGCCAGGGAGACACACTTTCTTCTCTTCCTCTTCCTCAGTTCGCTCACTGCCTGTGGGAGGAGCGTGGGTCATAGGCTGCACCATACAGGTGGGCTTTGGCTGAGGAGACGAGACAAGACTGGATTAGCAAGAACAAAGGTGTAAGGCTCTCTGAGAATAGGAGTTATTTCTCTTCTCCAAGAAGGACCTTAACGTGGACAAGTAATATCTGATGAGTATGAATATTTGATGAAGCTGGCAAGTATAATGCTAACTAATGAAGATGGACCAAGTAAGCAGGAGGTTAAACAGTGTAGGTGAATGTGGGCTTACTAGCTGGCAAGTAAGAGGACATTGTTGCCCTTGTTATGTGCTGTGACTGCTTAATGATCTAATTAATCATCATTAATAAACTAACATTAAACCATTAAAGCCATTACAAGGGTAGTAACTATTGTACAGTGTTACCAAATTTCCAATTATAAAACCTTCCACAGGCCCAAAGATGCTGTAAATCACATTCCACGTTCTTCTGCTTGAATCTCACCGTGGCAACAGCTGGCTCTTGCTTGATGGGAACATGATCAGAGACGGAGCGAGGGACCACAGCATCCAAACCAGCATCCTCTGCAGCCCGTGGGGGCTTGGGCTTCTCCTCCCCTGCCCGAGGCTCCTCCTTGGCAGGCAAGGCATGCTGGCTACTCCCTGGCTGACTTTTGTCGAGGGAGGAAGGGCCGGAGGGCACAGCGACCTTTGCGCCCCCCACTGCACCTTAAACAGAGGAGAATGGAGCTTGTGGTTAGAAAATAAAAGGTCAAAGCCTAAAGGTCAAAGTGTGAAAAAGCTTCAGTAACCTCTTTACTCATGGAAGCAAAACATTAAAAGTGCATGCTCATTTTCATTTTTACAGAATAAAATCCAAATGTCAATTCCAAGCTAAAATAGCTGTGCAAGACAAGTCGAGCATTATAAAACAGCAATTTTAAAAAGAGTGGCAGTCATTGGTGAGAACTATAGTGCTGTCTGGATTGGGGGATTGGCACAGTGACAAGGACACACGAGAACACAGGCGCTTGGCAGGGTGGAGCCTTGCTCTGGCTTGTATTGAGTTACTGGATCATTCTCTGCTAGGGCTGATCCAGTTGCAATTTTTCTGCACAATCTTGTGACTGCAATTTAAAATGCATTTTTTTTAATGACAAATTCCAGTTTAATTACAAATACTCCTGTATTAGTGGTACTATTATCTATCATAAATAATTATAAACTTTCTATATGAAAACTTCCTATAAACTTCTTACATGAAAAAATCTTCAGGGTTCACAGATGAAAGTTTTTATTTTTTTAAAATACATTATGTAGGTTTTATCAACATAAAGTGCACAGTAAACAATCGCATTTTTAACAGTGAAAAATTACATTTCTTGCATGTACAACTGGTCAGTAATGGACAGTCATGTAACACTAAAACAAGCTGAAATTAGCCAAACCAGCCATTTCCGTTTTATCTTTCAATATTTTTCTTTATGTTCAATGTAGAAGTTTAAGAGAAATTTAAGATAAATCCTTACAAAAATTAATAAACAGTAAATCACAGTTTTTTTGGACATAAAATGCTAAAATTGTATCATCAAAGGAAAATAATATCTCTTGCATGTAAGCCTAGTCAAAACCAGCGTTCATGGGTTTCTTGCGAAAAAGACAAGCATATCTACTTTACGTGCTGAAGGCATGAACACTGACATACAATGTTGCCTCCTGTACTAAAGAGCCTTTCTGCGGGTGAACTTGTGGCTGGTACAAACAGATATCTGCAGGCCTGCCTGCTCAATCTTGGAAAGCTCACTTGGTGAAGTTTCCACCAAACCAGGGGATCTTCTTCTCCATCAATAGTGGGTGTCATCCGCTCTGTTTCCATTGCATCATCAAGCTGTCTGGAGACAAGGGAGCACTCTTGAAGTAGCTGCCAAACAACCTCTTTGGCTTTTCAGGCAAGGTTGCTGAACTCTGTGGCTCTATGACACGTGATCTTTTCTTCTGTAACATCCATTAAATGAGTCAGTATTTTTCTAATTTTATTTAATTTTGAGAAAATGCATATTTAATAATCAATATCTGTAACGGTTAATGTTACTCGTGTAGAATGAATTATCTCCTACAAACTAATACTAATCCTAACCCTCTATCTTCCTTGCTTCTTCTTCCACCTGTGTCTTCATTCTTGCTTTAATGGCAAGGACATTCTTTTGGCTGATATAGTTAGTTTTGAATCAGGGGTCCAGAAAATGATGCAAAGTCAAGCAGTTCTTGGATGGCAGGATCGTTGTATTTTTCCTGGAGGTAGCCAATGACTCTGGACTTGACTGACTTTGTGAGGTCTGCATCCTCTTAATTCTCTCCTCTAAAGTGTTTTTTGTCTTTAAAACGGTAGAACTCTGGCTTCAGATACGAAATGCTGGCATATTCTTCTCAGGAGAGTGCATCAGTAAATCTTGAAGAGGACACAGTGCCTTGTGAAATGACTAGCACCTCTGTGTCTTGCCAGGTAAGCACTGGGTGCAGACAGCACGAGAGTGAGGGAGCTTACTTTGCTCCAGAACCCTTTCACTCATGTTCTCATTGGTTCCCAACCGTGTGGAGCACCCTGTAATGAGTGGATGTTCAGGAAGACTGAAGTCTTTCTAAGCTGTTGCCAGTGCTGTCTTTTTCTTCCAGCTGACAGAAAAACGGCCAACAAACTTCTTACACTCACTGCTTGGTTTAGCCTTTCATCTTTAAGTGCGTTTTCTGAAACAGAGTCAAGGAAAAACAAATTAGCCTGCTTTGTTTACTATAAGCAGATATAGAATATAATCGGTAAGGTACAAAAACATACAAAAATAAAGCGTAAACTAATACTATGTAACTATTCATCCAACTTATTTGGTTTCTTCATTTTCTAATTACCTGAACATGCCTCCCTCTGAGTATGCCTCCCTTGTCTTTCTCTCTAAACCACGTGCAACTATCAAAGTGACACAGCTTACATAGGGAGAAAAAGAGAGAGAGCTTTACAAATGTGACACTTACCGATTGCACACCGTGGCCAAAACGTAGTCTGGTCGTTTATTTCGGCTGCCTTTACCATGTTGGAGGCGTTATCTGTGGCAATGCACACTTGTCCCTCTTCATTCAAACCCCAGCTGGCCAACACACACCTTTCATTCCAGTGGCAATGGTCTCTCCCTTATGGGCACGAGGAAAGTACGACGTCTGTAGACAATGACTCTTCAACTCAAGATCTTCACTTATGAAGTGAATAGTGAGTCTTTGGTAAGGTTCAGTTGTTCGGCTCAAGCACATGTCTGTAATGTCACGTAATACTCAACATTTTTCAGCTCCGTTTCAACTTTGTTTCTACATGGCTGAAGTATGTGTGAGAAGAAATCTGGTATCTTTTGTCAAGTGTTTGGAGAAGGTTTTAGAAGCCATCTTTAGACACTGTGTAAATCAGCACCATATCTTCAGCTAAGTACTTCGCAATAGCGTCTGTTATCTCGTGGTGCATTCGCAAGCTTTTTTTCATATGGCGTGATGCTTTCGAATGCCTGTGTAATGGAGCTTTGCCTGGTTATCACATTAAGAAACTGTGAGCTGGGGGGTTCATGACCGGACCTTTTAGACGTGCAATCATCACAGAGATGTCTGTGATGTTTCTTTAAATATTGATAGAGGTTTGTGGCGCTGCCTCGTGAGGTTAGCACCACCGCTCGACATGTCTTGCACAGCAACCTTCTGACGCATGTCAGTGTTCCTGAAACCAAAACACTCCCACACACATGATGTGCTGATTTTCTTTGGTAGCAACCCGTCCACTGGACCGTGGGTCTCACTCGCTTGCTCAGATGACGCGCTCATCTTTTCCCTGATGTCTAGTGCCAAGCTGCTTGTTAACAGTTGTGCTTCTTTGTCACACACAGCATATGCATGATTGGCATCTTCTTATTGTTCATCTTCACAAAGTTTACGCATTCATTTTTTGGGTAGATTTTTCTCTTGTAGAACTTGCGGGCTATTGGCTAATTCTAATCGCAGCTGCTGCAATTCGAAAATTGCATCCATTCGAACCATGATTTTGATTAAAAATGATTACTCGTTCAGCCCTATTCTCTGCATTCACATTCCTTCCTTGAGTGGTGCCCTCATTTCCACATGTAAACACTAACATGCTACTCTACCACCGACATCAGTCAGTCAGTCAGTCTTATTCACGTTAACTTTCTAATAGGGTTACACAATACGGACAAAATACCACATTGCAATTACATGGCCACATACAGCAACTGCAAAGTGCCTTGCAATATATTAATTACACATAAACTAAGTCGTGATGTGGTTGAACATTTCTCTGCATTAATTTAGGCTTCAATCATTTGTCTCGTGGCACTCAAATGTCCACCGAAATCTGAATCATACGTGACTGGTCAGGTTGATCACAGCCTACAAGTAAATTAATAGCAGCAGTTTGTTAAAGGCTCATCTGCATTTTGCTTGTGGGAATTACATACTACCAACTACATTACATACCCAACATTTATACAGCCAGCAGCCAAAACTAAACAAGAGGTATCATGTTTCTAAGACAAGAATTTTCTTGGAATGATTGTGTCAGGCTCATATGTGTGAGTGCACTAAGAGTTCATTAAGAGTGCATTATGTAGAAACCAGGCAGCAGACCTTGTGAAGCTGGAGCCTCCAGCCCCCCCCAGCGCTGGCTGTGTCTCTTCCTCAGGCTGATGTCTATGCGGGATGGCGTGAAGGAGTAACTAGACTGCTCCGGCTGGATAAGGTTCCTGAAATATCGACAAAGGAACAAATATATATATGATAAACAAAAGATACCTGGTAAGTCAATTTAGATACTGAAATTAAGCAACATTTAGAAGCTCTTGCCTGAGTTTGACTTGCCACTTGAAGACAGTGTTTGGTCCGCAATCCGGATGAAGGCGCAAAAAATTGGCATCACTGTGAAAGTAGATACAACGGTTACAATTTAAATATGCATATGCAGACATTAACTATGGTGACTTAAAGATTAATTTCTCTCCCAGTTTTCATGAAACATGGTGCTACACTCACCATACCTGTAACTAAAGCTAGTGTGAGCAGAGGACTAGTTATGAAGCCAAGTTTTTACGATTCTGCACTTTTCCTTTTAACGTTACTTGTGTGCATACTTTAGTCATGGCCTCACACAGAAGAATAAAACATTTCTAAACTAAAAGTTCATAATTGCACTCTACCTAATAGTGACTTGTTCCTAGGCCTGTCACAATTATTACGTAAACACCTAATGACAATCATTAGAGCTGATAGCAATTATTTACGCTGACTGCAATTGTTTCTCACAGTTAACGTTCACAATCCTATGTTTACGTTACAAGAAACACAATGAGAATTGGATGTGTTTTCATCCATTGGTTTAGGCAATTTCATGCCAATAAAACGAAGCACAAAAACACATTTATTGAGACTTACGAAACAGCTAAAGCTCAAACTTCTAATGAGTGCTATAACATCTTTAAAAGGGCAGCAGTGAGCAATGTTTGCTTATTTGAGCTTGAGCTGTGTCTGTCATCAGTCAGGAGCAAGGTTGGGCAAAATACCCTGAAAAAGCAGTGAAGGCTGAATACTGAATACTCTACCCAAAATGTATTCAGTCATGGATTCTGTTACAGTATATAAAAAAGTAACATATTTAGAAGACATATTGATAAGACACATAGGACATTTTACTCAGACTCACACTGTTCCTTGCTGTTACTGGTTGGCAGTTTTCATGTAATTCTTCTGTATGTAATATGTTTCATTGAAAATTTGCTTATCATTTAAATTAGGTTGTGAAATTGTTAACTTTTTTTTCTTTTCTCCATCATTGTCTGCTTCAGTCCACTGCTGCTCCTACAATCACCTGAGCAGGAGTCTAGTACAAAACTGATGCTAAACTTTTCACTCACAAATGCCCACTACTGAGATTATTACTTTGATCATCCCTAAAAGGAGTTTAACACTGAGATTAATAACTGATCATCACCTTGCTTTATCAGTCTACTCAGGCTTTAGCAGGAACTACAGTGTTTGTATATAAGTCATTAATTGAGGACCTCTTTCATCGAATGAGCATGTTTACATTACATGCTGTGTGCTGATTTTAAAATAGTTAACAAACAAGCATTGATGGTGTTTCTGTTGAAGGTTTATTTTTATTTATAGTTAGTGGGTAAGTATTTGAAAAGTAAAAATAAATGTATTCTGAATACTCGCTTTACAAAACGGAACTTGGACTGAATACAGCTACTTAATTTCTGTACTCTGAATACACGGTCCCAATAACTAGTATTCCATTACATGCCAATCATGGTTAGGCGCTACAGAGTGCCAATAGCTAGGAAGCAAGCTTGTGACAGGCCTATCTATTCCCTTTAAAACCAGTAGCAGAATCCAGAAAACTACCACTGAAACTGATCTCACAATGTCTCCCTCTCTCTCATATCTACAGCCCTCTGCATTTGTCAAGCATTAGAAGGTCACGTATCGTCCCACCTGGTCTGGAAGATAAGGGTGAAGTCTTGTTCCCTGAAGAGCACCCTGGAAGTCTCCCTGCAGATTTCCTTCAAGTACACATTGACAACCATCAGGTCCGTTCCTTTCTCATATGAGTCATTCTTCACAAACTTCAGGTTCACCATTGGCTCCGGGCCTGAAAACACACACTTGTCATTCATCTGTAAGACACCTTTGAGGACATTCGCTATTCACGTCAGTCAGTTCCCAATCACTATAATCCCCATGAATCCAGAGTTCTTGAATGGTGGAGACTGAGAAAAGCTCCTCTATGGAGAGCAGTGCTGGAGGAAAATGCTAATCACTTGCCTTGCTACATGACTAAATGAACTCCTGAGTGAAATACTATCTAACTATAGGGAAGAGTGTGTGTGAACATCCAATCCCTCCCCCAGTGTGGGAACACAGCCAGTCGCAACCCTCCCTAGACTCGCAGCCACACATGGCAAATGCTGCTTCTGCTGCTGCTTGGATTCGACCTGAGCCACAGGGAACTGCTCTGTTATTAGGCTTAGCTGCTCTGTGGCTGTACATACATCGGTCATGACTCACAGCTATGAAACAGACATTTGGGAAGGAAGGAACATCCCAAATTTAAACGAGGTCATGGAGAAGAGTCTAAATACTAAATCAAACTGCTTCCCTTTTAAAAAACGCTGTGGAGTTGGGCTTCAGGGCATTTGCCAACTTGGACTGTTCCAGTAAGTGCTGAACTGACCTGCATCCTCTTCCTCGTGACTCTTCTCACATGGCTCCTCCTTGGATCTATCTCTCTTCTCCTCCTCCGTGTGTGTGGATTCCTCCCCCTTGGGGGTAGTTTCTGGAACAAGTCCTGCAGCTCCTTGGTGGTGGGGCAGGACCTCTGTTTGTCCTTGACTTTGCACAGCAGTATCAGTCCTCCCTTCCTCTCTGTTTCTCTCCTCTGGGGCTGTCGCTCCTTTGCAGCTCTCCTCTTGCTTGTGTGTCTCCCTGGGTGTTGGAGTTTGTACTCTGGGGGCAGGAGGCTCACACGGCTCTACCCTTGGCTCAGGCACCTGTTGCTTACTTTTACTTGCTTCAGCCTACAAGTCAACACAAGCACAAATGTTTGACAACATAACTTCTAACCAGCAAAACAACTGTCACAATTAAGAAATTTCATTTATTTCTGTTGAGTATGCCATAATTAATAAGAAAGTCAGATAGAGATATCATAAATGTGCATCCACATTTTTCCTATTTTGAGTTTTAGCAATCTGTACTACTCAATTTTTATTATATCTCTAAATCTTGAATTTAAATGAGATACTTTGCTTCTTTTAATTTTGTTATTCACAATTTTATGTTGTACATATCAGCACTTACATATTTCTAAAGCACAAAATGTTTTATAAATAAAGATGAGCTGAACAAAGGTAAGAAGCATCTTTTTATAACCACCTTTATATATTCTTGAAGGATTGTTGAAACTCACCTGTTTATGTTTCTCTAGCTTTTTATCTCCCTTCTCTTTTGGTGGCCCTTGGCACGCTTGATCTTCGACTTGGGGTTCTGCCCTGCTGTCTCGAGCACTAGACGATGGAGAGGGAGAGCCACGGCCGACAGGTGTGACGGGTTTACCGTTGACCACTGGTTTGTGCAGGGGCTCCCGTGCAGGGCCTGATGCTACAGCAGGCTCCTTTGTGTTTTTCATAGGGCGCACAGTGCGCTTGGCTATTGGCTCAGGGGTCTGGTCTCCTTTAGCACCAGGTTTGGTCTCAGTTACCTTAACCCCTGCGCTCTCAGAGTTCTCCACCTGTTTGTTCTTGATCCCCCTTTTCATGCCCCGGTCAGGTTTACCGCGCTTCGTGTCTGATGGCGAGGGCATCTGCTGCGCTGGAGTTTTGAGCGTTTCTGAACTCAGGCTAGATTTCTCTGTAGATAACTGATCACCGTCACTCAGTATGTTTACAGGTTCATTCTCTTTGTTGCTCTGCTTTAAAGCAAACACACAGACACAAAAAAGTCAAAGCATGTATAGAACATCTTTGGATTGCTGTATGATAGACAAATTAAAGTGACAAAATGGAATTTTTTTTGTCCCACTTCCCCTAAACACAGCTGATCAGCCAAGAAGGGCCTGTTTACACATTTTTAACATTTAAAATCAGGCTGTCGTGGCATTGTTTGCAGCGTGAAGACACTGCCTTTAAAGCATAAATAAATAACAAAACTCAGAGCTTTCCTCTGTGAAACTAAACACTGTCACGCAAATATATCTAAAAACAGATGGCCACCTGGCATCCTTGTTAGTACTGTAAAAGATGAGTTACATCTGTTTCGGAGCCTTTTTACTCCGGTAGGTCTCCCCACAGCCTACCTGCTGTTCTATATGTGCTCTGACAGGAACAACAGGTGAAATTAAATGTTTTATGACTGACAGCAGAAACCATAATCACGGCCAAAAGGATTTAAAGACATGTTGAAAACGAATACATGAGCCAGACACTGGTGTTGTGTACATTCTGCTAAACAGTCACAACCTAAGCACAGTCAAAAGAGAATATGGGTTAAATATCACAACCATAATAATTGTGTATTATCCTTTGTAGCTTTTCAGCTTTCATGTCCAAGTCTACATTGGAAGACTACTTCTGAATATGTGCACGCACACACATGCACACGCACACGCACACACACGCACACACACACATAAACACATGCGCACACACACACACATAGACACACGCACACACACGCACGCACAATCACAAGGTGTGCTCAACTACCTCTGGATCAGGACATATAGATCCAAACTTTCTGCAAAATGCATTTACATTTGTCTTCTAAACACACATACTACAAACATCAAGATACAGAACGCATTATGATGCCAAGTGCAAACGGGATCAAAGTGCTATCATGCCTGATTTTAGTTTTCCACTGGAGTTAAGAAGCTATAGCTTATAACTACTAATCATGATCACTTCATCAATGCAATCAAATCGCCTATTTTTATAGACAGAGTATGTCATACACTGTCAGAAACCACATAAGACTATTCAAAATTACCTACCTTAGTTGTGGCTTGAGGCAAGGATGTGATTTAAACATACACTTCACACTATACTGATTGGTGGTCATAGGCTTCCTTTACTTGTTAGCTACATTAGCCTTATAGCTCCAGTGGAAAACTAAAAGAGCAAACATGTCTTGGCTGATTAACTACATTTGGCTTTTAAGCGGTGCCTATTTACATTCTGCCCATTCAGAGCTGTGCATGCACTCCTACCATAAGAGAGGGCCAGGAGTTGAAGGGGATCTTCTTGTGCATGACGAGCTGCAGGATGCTGCCTTTTTCCTTATATTGCACTTTACTGCAGGAGCTCTCGATCTCACTGTTCAGGTGACAGCTCCATTCGCGGCCATCTGAGAGCACAACACACATAGTTCATATAGCAATACAGTGTATGACTGCATAAAGACAAAAATAGACAAGGAGAAAAAAAGCCTGATAAGCACGGAATGAATTATTGGCACGAACAGAGAAACAGGGGTTCAACAAAATGAGAAAAGCATGTTTTGCGTCATTTTATTTACCTGGAAAGCGGACTTGGCAGGCTGTATCTGAGAAGGCAATGTTCACATCCTCCACTTTCAGTGTTCCCTCTCCACATCGCAGCCTGACTATCACCTCGTTGGCATTCTGCTTCCAGTCCAGAAACACATCTACCAGAAACACACATCATACACAAGTCAGACACACACATGTACGCATTCATGCTGTCTTCCATCATAATGACATTTACAGAAACATGGCAACTACACAGTTGTATTGTTGTCAAAAGACGTCTCAAGAAGACGATTCAGTTTTGTAATTAACTATTTCAAAAAATCATGCAAAACCAGTTTTGTTTAGATATGAAAGTAAGGTTAATCTTTGCAAAAACAAACAGATACGCTGACCTGGACAAATTACCATCACTCAAGGAATAAGCTAAAATTAGAGATCTTAGACATCCAACAAACAGATGAATCTGATATTTGTGAGCATTGAAAGAGTATCAAAAGAACTAGATACTAGTTTGATGAAGGACATGTTATCCAAGGATGTAAGTGAATTAACTATCTACGCTTATTATCATATTTTCATCAGTATAATGCTGATTTTGCGATTGGGAACTAAACACTGAGCCAGACCTTCCTTTCGAGTCTGTGCGTGACATTCACATCACTGTTGTTGGAAGAAAACCTCATTTCTCCCAAATGATAACTTTGCAGGAAAAAGAAAAAACCTACTTTACTTTTAACGTAAGTCAATGGAATCAGACTTTTTCCCCCCAAGTCATTTTAAGCCATTTAAAATCCATTATTCATGAAATTTGCACAGTGTAAAGAGCAACAGGCATTTTCAAATTATGTCAGAAACTGAAAAACAACAACAACAAAAAAATGGAGATACGAGGTTTTATTCTGACAGCAGCGATATGTAAAGACGTATGACTGAAAAATTCCCGCAAAATCCGACCTGATGCCGGCTTGATTTTACAGGGTGACTCGGAGTGTTGCACATCATATTTTAGCATGTTCTTTTTCTCTCCTGACCTAGTAATGCTACTTCTTTCAATTTTAATGAAAAAAAAAATCATTAAAGTTAGGTAAGAGTTAGGTAAATGCAGCACTAGGAGTCTTGCCCAAGGACTCTCATTGGTGTAGCATGAAGCTTTTTGGCCAGACGTGGAATTGAACACCTGTGTGCTGCGCAGAGGACAGCAGTATTATTCACTACACTACACACACACCACACCAGCCGCTATGCAAGGTTTATTTCTCTGACTCTGTGTTACAATAGATATTGTCTGTTGTCATGCACCATAATGAGTTGAATTCTACTTTTAATCAAGAGTATGTGTGAATGATAGATCTGGATTTTATACTATGATAAGCTACTGACAGTTAAAGTTAAAATAAAATGAATTCTTTTTTTTTTTTCTTCAACCTGGCACTAATGGCGGGAAACCTGAAAGTAACCTGAAAGTAACAGAGCACTTGCACCCATGCCAAATTTCTGTTCGAAGAACACCCATGTGTGTAATTTGGTGCACATGAACCGCTGCAATGTGAAACCAGCCTAACCTAATCTAACCAAATGAAAGAGACACAACATTACAGAAACACAATACTCTGGTGTGGACTTCAGCAAACAAACTAGTGTGAAAATACCCTCAGAGAAGGGAGTGAGGACCGTCTAGAGGATAACATTCTTGCTGTACAAAAAACCCTCACTTCAGTGTAGTGCTAAAGCACTAATGTCTCAGCACAGTGGGCAGGAAGAGGAGCTTGCGTGCGCTGATCTGAGGAGAGCTGGTGCAGGGCAGAGCCACTCTCATGACCTTGACAAAGCCCTGCTTCACTGAGCCAGCCTCTCACAGGCTTGGATTACAACACTTCGGCATTCAGCACTGCAGCAGCCAAAGAGCACAGATGCAAACACACACTGTCCCATTAACAAACAAACAAAAACACTGCATGACCTCAGTGCAACAAAGGAACCAGTGCACACAGGTCTATCAGTTGTCACAGGAACCTCAAAACAAAAAACTCAACATGGATTTAAAAGATATACACACACAAGGCCTTTGTTAGTCAATACAGTGTAACACAAGGTTGAAAACCAAGACGGTAGTGATGTAACAGTTCTGAGCCGAAACTGAAGTCAGTGGTTCGGCAGCCATCTCATGGTGCACGTGAACAGTGTTTTTTTTGTCTCTCTGAGAGAGCATGCTGCTCCATGTTTGATCACAGAGCACACAGGCTTCCAGCAATGCTCTGTGCCAAGCTCTGCCCTACTACTGATGGTGCTCAAGCAATAACAAAGGCAAATGACTGATTCATTGCAGTTGACATGAGGATATTTCAAAAAAGTAGAGAATGAAGGACCCCAACTGTTGTTAGGATGTGCTCAAGCTGTGGCACGAAATGATGTGCACCACATACACACATGGTGCCAAAAATGCAAAAAGAAACAAAAACACCTTTGTGAAGAGTTGGGTGAGGCACAATTAATTGTAGATAGCCAGACATCTCAAGTTGTTCTACCAGCTACTCACTGTATAAAAGGAAAAGTTGAAAACAGAGTGATGGATAGATTTATTTTACCTGATGTTTACATTTTATTTGTTTGCTGTTTACATTTTTATACTCACTGATTAGTACAATTTCTCTACTCCTTGATATTTACATTTTTGATTCCTGTTCAGATGTTTTGTTATACTTGCTGATATTTACAATTTTTACTTTTTTTGCAACATGTATTTCATTTTGAAGAGACTTCTGGTTTGAATTTGCACATCTGACATTAAACTTGGGTTTAATTTAAAGAATTAACCATGACACAAACTACACTGTGGCACAGAAACCGATGACTGAACTGAACAATGAAAGGGGTGAACATCTCTATAAGACATGTTAATTTTTAAATTTGTAAGCTTATATTAAACTGTGTGTAAAAGTCACACAGATTTAGGCTAAAAGCCCAGGCATTAAAAATCCAAAACACCGTGGATGTGATATTCTGCCTGAATTTACTGCATTAGTTCTGCTTATGTAAAGTACGGGTGAATTACCCAAGTGAAACACTTGGACATATCAGCAGAACCAAAGCGGGAAAGGAATTTATAATTCTCTTCATAGAGTCAAGAACTGGTCCAGCAGGAAAAGAAATGATAGCCAAGTAAACATGCAGTGGTTTCAGCAGATGATACAGTTAAAGACAATAAAACAGGCTGGCAAAAACGATAAGGATTAGCTGTCCTTAATGCCAAGACAGACGGGTTCATCCCCTGCAAGCATGTAACACTTAAAGTCACACTTTCCTTATTGGTGGAGACAACAATCCTAACCATTTCTGGTTCGAGTTATCAAGTAAAATCTGGGCAAGTTCATCTGAATATTTATGCAAGACAAATTTGTCAAAGGAGACCGAGACAAGTCAACAATTTACCATGAACCAATAAGTCAACCACTAGTGCTATCAGGAAGACTAAATACAAAAGTAATCAAATAGACCAAAATAAACCAACAGATATACAGGCAACACTCAGGAAATGACATCATGATTTTATCTGCAGTACTCAGTGGTGAATACAATGGCTAATCATTTTCAAAGGCACAAATTATTAGCTGCACCTAATGGCCTAGCTAAGAGACAACGTTTTACTGTGTCACCCATCACAGAACTCCTCTGCAATACTCTAATTTTCTACTTCACTCTGAACATAATCTGTATTGGATACAGTGAAAATTACAGGTCTAAACCCAAAGCTCTGAGGGAGAACATGCTCCAAGACAGTCTATTACGATGCCAACAGTTTCACTTTCAATCTTTGTATTGACTGCACTGCCACGTAAAACAATAGACATATGACTATCATGTTAAAACAAACGCTTTTTGCTCTTAATTTGATTTCAAAATTTACATCCAATGCTGTACTACTGTAATACTATCAAAGGCTACACATTTTTAGAATATTTAGCCCACAAACACCTCAGTGTTGCTATACAACTAATTCCCCACTCTTTGTCTGACTTGACAACAAACCAATCCGAGAGTGTAAGCGCAACCACATGCTTACTCAGAGACACGTGAAACTGGCCACTGTATCTCTTTCAAATGGCTGCTGGCAGACGCAACATAGTAAGGCAGCTGCACATTTGTACTGCCCGATTCTGAGTGTGTGAGCTGCAAGATAGCCACAACTGGCCAGCCAAAGATATACAGGAGACAGAAACTAAGCCACCCTTCCCACATAGAAAGTAGAGTTCAATTGTGCTCCCTAGAACACAGATGCCACAGATGTACACAACATCATTGTCTATGTTTCAGCAATCACTCTTCAGAAACACCTGCTATTCAGGAGGTACATTCAGTAGGTTCCCAGGGTTGGTCGGTTCACATACAGAGCAAAGACATTTGATAAATAAAAACGTACTTATATAACGTTCCTATGACGCAACAGTTACATTACCAAATACATCACGATAACTGTGTGCAGACACCAAACTAATTTCAGCCTGAAACAATTTATTATCTTTTAAACCACACAATGAGTTGGTGCTGTTAACTTACTTCTCAACAATTCAAACACAAGCATTAATCACACGGCTCAACTTGATATTCATAAAGGTATAACAAGTCAAACCACTACAGCATATGGACATGTAGCTTTTCAAATAGTTTTTAGCTTATTCTAATACAAAAATTCTGGTATTTTAGAGTAGGTATTCAGGTATTTTAGAGTAACTGCAGAGCTCATAGAAGGTGTGCAAAATATCAGGGATTACGGGAAGTGGATGATGGACAAAGAGGCTGTTTACATGGGCCTTTCCACAATGAAAGAGTGGAATAATCCTTTAAAAACAAGCCAGAACACATCAGACATGCACAACAACATTTGTAATTCTTTTCAACTGACCACCTTTGACCGTCTCCTTGAAGGTCAGAAGAAACAGATGCAAAGTCATACAACCAAAAGCCAAACAACTAAAGAAGGAAACTAAACAGGACCTTAAATTAGAGATCCAACATGGCCCTCTGTGCTCACCTTTCTTAGCCTCCGTGTTGGCGACTGCAGCAGCCCGCTTGGCCTCCCTACTCTCTTGGTTGGCCCGATCCTTCTGTTTCTTCTTGCTGTTGCTGGTGGAGTCATCAGGTCCTCTCTGAGCTCTCCTACGGCCTGCCTCACTGGACGCAGTGCCACTACTTGCCATCTTAAGCCACTTGCCACTAATGGGTCGGCTGTCGCCCACCTCGCTCCCGCTAGCGCAGCCGCTTTCACTGGGGTCAGGTTCCGAGTTGTGCCGTTTCCTGCCCGGTCCAGCTATCTTGGCGGCGTTTTTAGGCTGAACACTCCCAGAATAGAATCGGGGGAGGCTGAACAGAGGATAAAAATGTTAATAAATAGTTGAACATCGCATTAAAAAAACATATACACTTCTTATGCACTGATGGTGCCGCTGTGAAGTCGGCCTAAAGAGGTTAAAGCTCTCTTAACGGTGACAAATATGGGCATGGGACCAAGCTCGATGTAGCTAGCTTTGCTAACAACAAAACGTTAACCTACACATCTAACGTAAACATCTACAGTACATTTTAATGAATACACGCTAACATAAATATACACACTCAGACAGGTAGCTACTGTACCCACAAACGCCGTGAGAACAGAGTCTAGTCTGTTGTCATTAGCCAACTAGCTAGCTAGCTATAAATCATCAATGCCGGTGTCCTGTATCACAGGCCAACGTTAATCCCCGTTGGCTAGATTACTCAGCGGTCATTGTTAGATTAGCGAACTAGCTGGGCGAAAGGAAAGACAAGTAGAAGAGGAAACCAGGCAGCACAGAAAACAATTCTCTTTCAGTCACAGAATACGGGCTACCAGTTTGTTAGCTAGCTAGCTAACTTAGCTAGTTGCCAAATTTAGAATATAACAGCTGTGCCTGGTCTGAAAGTTAACGTTAGCCGGTTAGCCAGTTAGCCTGCTTTGACCCAGTTTTATCTTCCTTCGCAGTCAATCTCACGATTACACTGACAACGCTTTAGACTGCACTGTTAGCATCAGGTTTTTACTCTCGGCGGCGATAAAAGTCATGGCGTTAAGTTTTATTCGCCACCGTTGAGTGGTTGTGTAACCTAAGGCAGGTAGTTAGTAAGCAGGGCCACGCTTCCCGTTGTTGACACAATCAACAAGACCCAACGGCGCAGTTGCTATATTGCTAAATAGAGAACCCAGATCTCTAACGACCCGGCTAACGTTAGCTAACACAACCTGGTGGCCAACCTAGCTGCTAGCCTAGGTTACTTAGCTTGTTACTTACAACGCGACCCAACCGGACACCTAAAAGACGTTAACGGTGGCTAAGTCGGTTAACTTAGCTACCGCAAAGACGGGCGGAGCAGCAAATTAAATCATTCACTTCTAACTACAACAGCAACACAGTGAACTATTAATGTAACATATAAGGAATTCTCGTCTTTTTGGCGACGGCTTACATATTTGTTGCAGGAGTTCCGACTGTCGTTATCCTCTTAGTTCACTAGCAGTAAGCCGGCCGCTCGGTGTCAGCTTAACCCCGGGACACGGAGCACGGGAGCGGGCCGCCGGTAGCCTCTGCCCGCATTAGCTTTCGGAGGCTAACGTTACCAACTTAAAGCTCTGCGGTTCCAGAAGATTCTAACCAGGGCCCATTCTGTTCGGTAAAGAAACCTCAGTGGTGTGTAGAAACAAAAGAGCGGAGGTAATGTGCTCTCTCAGCCCGCTCCACACGGCCCCGGCAAATGACTCGCAATTCGTTGTAGCTCGAAAACAAACCGGAGGAACTGGGATTGCGATCACACCCGTTAACCTGCCTCAGTGCAGACATGACTTCCGGGCAGAAGCTCTTTGTGAATTTTAAACCAGTAGGGGTCAGTAATAACCAGGGTGATCTTTGGCCAGCTCCGCAGACCCAGATTAAGCCTAAACCTAGACTAAATGGGGTTTTCAAAGGCGATTCAGTTTTGGCCCTGCAATTTCGAGCTGGATTATTCCCATTAGAGTAGGTAATGTAATCCGCAGGAGCTTCGTGCGGGGTAACGGGATTTGTGTGATTTACCAGCGAACTTGTAGAGAGGAGAAGTACCACTCTGCAATGTCTTCCGGGTTTCTCAAACGCTAGAGGGCGCTCCCGAGCGAGTCCAAAATGAATGGGTTGATATGGAGCATTTGAGCAAAATCATAGTTTATAAATGCTTAAACATTTTTAATGTAAAAGGATACAATCATTTCCTGAACACTGAATAGCATAAAACATTTGAACATTGCTGTTATATTTTTAAGAGCTTTTAAACTCGAGCTATAGGAGTTTAAAACGGCGCCTCATGTGTGTCCAAACGTTCTGGACGAGTGATTAGAAACTATTTTAACTTTTCGTTTTTAGCCATTGAGCTCTATTTACTCCCATTCATTGAGGACTTTTCTGGGGGGCACCCTCTGCTGTTGAGCAGTCCTGTTTTTGATATAACGGGGGAAATAGGAAGTGGCCAGGTTCCTCATAAACCGGCTCTGGATTTACCACAAATTATCCCAAATACCCCAGATCGAAATGTCATCACAAGGACGTTCGCGTCACTGTTATGCGACAGGCGTGGCCTTATAGCTATTTCAGAGCTGGTTTCTGATAAAGTAGTGGCATGGGAGCAGAAGCGCAAGGCTGAGGCTATTTGCAGTTTTCCAGTGCCTAACAATCATCCAGAGTTCCGTAATTTCTTTGGTATGGCTGGTCATTATAAGAGATGTTGTCAGAATTCACCTCTGACTGATCTTAGTGCAAAGGCACAGTTCAAGTGGTTGGACACGTGTCAGTAGGCCTTCAACAATGTCAAGGCCTTGCTTTTTCATGCCTCTGTATAAGTGGTCCCAAGTTCCAGTGACGTTGGTGCAGTTCTAATACAGTTTGGCCCTGATTGTGTTTATATAGTTGTATCACTTAAGGAATTTAAACTCCCATCAGTGAGTTTATTCCACTGAGAAGAAAGAGGCAATCTTGGCATTTTATAGTCTGAGTTCTTCATCTAGCATCATGGTCTGTACTGACTGTAATCTGTTGGTCTTTGTGGACCCAGTGAGGAAACATAATCACCAGATCTTAAGGTGGAGTTTGGCCTTCCACCTCGTGTTAAAGCACAACTGGAGCAAGGATAATGCGGCGGCCGATGTCCTTTCTATGGCTTGAGAAAAAAGGGTCGGGTTTTTCTCCTTCTCTCTCCATTCTCCTTCTTTCTCCTGTTTTACAGGGTCCAGGATACAGGGGACATGGATGGAGTCGAGCAGGATTGCAGGGGAATCTTTTTTTTTTTGGAAACTTTTTGGAATTGGAGGTGTTAGTGCTACTGTTTCTCCACTTGCTCGCATTTTTATTTTGAATTTCTGTTTTGCACACTTGCTAGTCCACTCATCTCCTTGTCTGCAGGTTCTATTTCTTTTTTTTTTTAAACCATTTTCCCTAAACTTCTGTATTGATGATTCCTTGATGTACTGCCTTTGCTATTTTTATTTAATAAAGGTTGCATTTTTCATTTGAACTTTAATCCATGTTTGTCTCCTCTTTTATGTTGTGGTCTTTAAATGAGCTGGCTGTAACACAGGCACAGTTTTAATCCATAAAATGAATGGGTCACAATCTCCAGTCCGTTCTTTTAGTGCCACATCAATCAACTCTATCTGTAGAGAAGCAATATTTACCCATTTGAAGACATGATTGGATTAATCTGAAAACTCTTGTCACATTCCTGAAGAGGAATTCGATCTGAATGCAAAGGAGTGTGTTTTTTAGGGTAAGGTGGTCAAATAGTTTTGGAAATGCACACATTCTCTTTGGAAATCAAATTTGAACCTCCAGTGTTTCTTGCAAAGGTGTTATCAGATCACAGCAGGGATCTGATAACATTAACACAAAAAAAATAAAAATCTGGGGGCAGTGGCGGGCTGGAGCCTTGTGACTGGAAGGTCGCCGGTTTGATTCCCTGATCTGACAGTATGTGAGTGAAGTGCACTTGAACAAGGCACCTAACCCCCAACTGCTCCCTGGGTGCTGTGGATAGGGCTGCCCACTGCTCCAAGCAAGTGTGCTCGCTCCCCCCTAGTGTGTGTTCACTAGTGCGTACGTGGTGTTTCACTGCACGGATGGGTCAAATGCGGAGGTGAAATTTCCCCGTTGTGGGACTAATAAGGGTCTCTTAATCATAGCCATGGTTAGGCCTACCCAGCCCATTGGGGAAAGAATATTGTAATTCTAAGCAAACATCTAATTCAGTGCATTGAGACATGAAAGGTAAGATATTAATTGTTCATAAACATTTTTCATGCTGAAGTTATATAAATGATCTCCCATAATCAAATTTGAATATTTTTACTATAGAGTATTTTGCTTGACAATATATTTTTCACCCCTAGGAATCATAGTTTTTTGGCTTTTGTATCTCTGTGAGGCTTGTGACGTATCAGTAATTGTATTTGTAGATTGTCTATTTTATATATAATTTACATAAAACTATAACTGCTTGGCCCAGCCCTGCGATTGACTGGTGACCTGTCCAGGGTGTATCCTGCCTTCCACCCAATGACAGCTGGGATATGCTCCAGCTCCCCCTGCAAACCAGAGGGCTAAGTGGCTTAGAAAGTGTGTGTAAGTGTGTGTGTGTGTGTGTGTGTGTGTGTGTGTGTGTGTGTGTGCAAAATATTTTAATAATCTTTTTTTAGAATCTATTTTACTTTTGAAATTCAATAAATTGTCTTCTCTTTTTAGTTTTTTGTGGTATATTACATCAGAGAAATTACAAATGGCAGTATGCTTTAGCCTGGAAATATAATTATTAGGTTTAGATTTTAAGTTTGTTGTGTTGTTTTCCTTGCTATCTTCGCTGTGGGATATTAAATAAGTTATGTTATCTTCATTGGGTAAAAGTTGTGCCTGTGGTGAGTGGACACATGCTTTATTGTGAGCGTTATTATTTCCCTGCAGCTTGATATTGAGCACAGAAATATGAAATGTGTTCACCTCCACACAGGACAGACTGGTGGATGGTACAACAGTAAGATATGAGGTCACTGGTTCTCCTGTTTCATATGTGCCATCATTCCCTTGTCTTCATCTGGAGCACCAGCTGAAGCCTTCTGAAACTTGCCTCATTTTCAGTTACTAGTTCTCACAGCATCTCTTGCTCACAGTAAAGTGTCCTCATAGTACAGATCTTCTTCAATAGAAGAATTCAAGCCTCAATACTAGGAATTGATTGAAAACATAGAGGTTTAAATGATAATTGGAGCAGTGATCTGTGGGTAGCCCATCAAGAGCTGTAGTGTCTTCAAGTATGTCTTGCATGGGTTTCCGCTCTGTATAAAGAAATGATCTCATTAGTCTTTAGTGAAATCGGGCAGCTGAACAGGACAAACAGAAGCAGATAGCATAGCCCTTAATGGTTGAGTTCAATGCTCTTGTATTAAAGGGAAATATCATGTCATGAGAAACTGTATTTCCTTTGCTTTTTTGAAATAAAAGAGCTTGATGTATCTTCACACTGTAAAAGTTTCAACATTGTTCCATTCATAGTGCAATGGCAATGATCACTACGAAAAATAATCCTATTTACTTCAGGTTTAGGCTGATTCTGGCTGTATAAAACCAGCCCTAAGAGACTGTAATACATCAATTACTCACTGTTGGTGGGACAGTGTTTTTGAACTGGGCAGATTGAGATCTCCAGTGTTCCTTACTGGAGTCTTGGAGGGTCTCATCAGATTATTATCAGCCTTTTCATGTGTTGAATCTGATGTGTTGAAGCATAAAGCAGAAAAAGCATGAAAAGTAATGCAGGAAGTATTTCAGCAGCTGGGGTGGGGAGGCTAGTGAGGATTGAGAGAAAGATTGAATGGATCAAAGTACAAAGAAAACCTTTAGAAAAATCTGCTCAGGAGTCCTCAAGACCTCAGATTAGGGCTAAAGGTCACTTACAATGGCAGGCAAATGTAGTGTTAGAAGTGTTGTTCAAACTCTTATTGGTACAGCGAGGGACCAAAAACAAAACACATCCACCAGATTTCGTCTCACCTTGTTCAGATTATCATTCTCTCTTTTTTCAGACACAAGAGGGACCTGAACTTCTGACCTTCATTATGAGACCCTGGACTAGAGGACTGTTTCAGTTTATGGACGAGATCAGAGACATAATGACCGACATGAAGAGGCACAAAAGGGGAGACTGATGGACACAAATCTTCATTGTTCACATCACTAACTTTGTCATCTTCAGCACCATCACCATCATCACCACGGTGTTCTTGAGGAACACCGGACAAAATCACCATCCCTGGTTTTCTCAACATCATCACAATCAACCATTGGTTTGGATATCATCATCAAATGTTGTTCTCATCAGGAGCAGCAACACAATCAATCAATCAACCAATCAACCAATCAATCAATCAATCAATCAATCACCCTTTATTTTCACTTGGAAATACATTGAGGGTGACCCCTGTTTTCAATGCAGCTGAGCATTTACAACAAAAAGGAACTAAAAATAAAACATAATTTCATAAGTTTAAACTAAAATGAACAAAACTACATGAACAAAATCAACAGTACAGTCAAATAAGATCATAAAGGAAAAAAAAATAAGAGAACAATTAAGATTTAATTAAGAAAGAGAACAATTAAACAAATAAAACCAAGATATTGTAGTTAAAACCAATTAATAAATTTCAACATGAAAGGATTTAACAAATGTTTAAAATTTTAAACAAATTACAAAGTGAAAGTATTGAAAAGTGAAAAGGTAATAAAAAAAGTAATAGAATTAAGATCAAATAAAGGAATTAATTTTTATC